CTGTAGGTTTAGTTTGTTTTAGATGTGTGTGGTGGCCATATACATGCACCATTCTGATTTCCTTAAAGATACTGTACTCTGGAGAACAGTTATTCGATAGCAAGTGACCCCTTTGGGTGACTTGTCCTTTCTTATCCACAGAACTCCTCTAATGGACAACTTTGGCTTGGGGAACTTATCAGCCAGGATGAGACTTTCTTGAAATTACACTAGTCTGAAGTTCCACTCTATTTTCTTCCCTTCCTCCTTTTACAGGGGTCATACTTGGCACCATGGTCTGTAGGTTCTCCCTGTCAATCCTGAGCCCACCTTTTTTATCCTTCACAGACATTTCTCCCAATCACTATCTTGCATGTGCTTTTCTGAGGATCAGGACTGACAATAGGCAATACAGGGAGTGGTGTCAGAAATCAGACAGTAAGATGTGGTTTGGGAAATAGTTTACTCAATCCCTGGCACAACATGGCCATCTGACTACTGATTTCACCAATAGTGACCTAGTAAAACATCCTAGAAGCGGTAAATGCTGTCATCTATTCAACAATTCAGGATTTGAAAGATATAGGGGAAACAATGCTTATGAGAGCAGAGCTGGCCAATTATACTGCTTCCATGAAGAGGGATAATGAGTTGAGGGCACTTAATGCTTAATGCACAGTTAAAAACTAAGTTTGGAAAAACAAAAAGTTAAGTGTGAGCCAGAGGGGACTCTTTGGGCTTCATAAAGAGGCCCTTATTTCCTACAGTGAAAAAACTGACATGGGATTAGACAGTTACAAGAGCTCTGAAGATACTTGGATCTTCAGCCTAGGGAGGTTTGCTATACAGCTAGGGCCCTGATTGAGAAAGCCTAAAGCTTTGAAAGATGGGGTGGGTGCCCCTGAGGATTTTGGCTTTGTAAACATCCCTGTATCCTCAGGGATTGCAGAAGTGGCTTATAACTCCTAGAGAGAGATAACACTTGCCCCCTTGTAGAAATATCTCTTCTATAGTTGCTTCCATTTCTTCTGGCTGAGAGGCTGTGGTAACTAGGGTAAAATCTAGTTGTAATATGCCTGGGGACTGCTTTGCCTGATAAGGGAGGAGATTATACACCAAAGGAACTGAAATAATAAACTAACATGTACTAACAGGAACCAGAGTACACTTGGGATTGAATTTTGAGGGTTCTTGATCAAGGGGACCGGAGGCTAAGACTGGATAATCAAGATTTCACTGACTTTGGGACAGAAGATTTAATCCTGGTCAGGACCCTAGGGGATGGGGCAAACTCACTGCTGGTGTAGCTCTTTGAAACCTGGAAAAATTGAGAGAAGTGGAAATGAGCTCATACCATAACAGCAGCGAACTGCTATTTATTTTGGCAGGTATATGTGGCCTGTTTTATAACAATTTAAAATGTGTTTTAGATAATCATCTGCAAATATTTTTTCTTTTCCACCTGTTTTTAATCTCATCACACTGATTAGGACCTCAGAACACTGATGGTGTGTTATGTTCATCATTCATCATTCAACACTGATGAATCAAATAGTGGTGATTCTTGTTTTGTTCCTGACTTTCATGGCAACATCTTCAGTGTTATATACATGTTCTTCATTGCTGACAGATACCACTTACCAAGTTGAGGACAAATACTAATATTCTAAATTCTCTAGGAAACATACATTGAATCTTATAAACTGCCTCTCTCGCATCTGGTTATCATATGGTTTTTCTCTATAATTCACTATAGAGATTATATGCCTACCCATCCTTGCATTCCTGTAGACTATTTGGTCCTAATAGCTATTGCCAATATTTTATTAAAATAATTTATCTGTTTTCACAGATGATAATGGCCTACACATTTTAGTGTTTTTAAAAATATCGTCTCTTCTGAGTCCTTGGCAATTGCATTAAATTTTATGGTCACAATATCAAAACTATAGCCGACTGCAATTTTGGTTTTCATGAAACAATGGGTATTCTTTAATGTTTCTCAGTATATGCAGAATCAAGTTCAGAGTCCTAAGTGTACTATCCTAAACGCCTCTACAATCTGGCCTCTACTTACTGCCTTCTTCATCCACTGATAAAACTGTTCCATTCCACAGGCAGCCTTTCCCTTTATAATCATTCTTAAAAGCCCAACTCAAATGTCACCTTTCCCTAATGATGTCCTATTCAAATTCCACTTCTTAGAAACTTTCACTTTTTCTTCTGATTAGAATTAACCTATTCTTTCCCCTATCTTTTTATGACTTTTAAAAACCTTTACTAGACTGCTCATCAATCAGCTTTTCATAAATTACTGACTCTATATGTAAATCTCAGAAGGAAACAAATTATTCCATAACTTAGTACTGTGCTCATAATAGGTAGTTTTAATTACCTTTCATTTTGTAATTTTAAAATTTAATTTGAAACCTGTTGCAGTGATTTGAGATATGCTTGAGATGGTAAAACTAAGATTGTTTTAAAATATTATCTCTGCAAAAGTCATTTATGCCTCAGTTGCTTTTTCAGATGTTCAGGTGAATATCCAACCAATATGTTGGTTGGTGATTTCATGCTCATATTTAATAAATCAAACACTTTTTTCTTTAAAACTATTTACCCCTCCAGGTTTACTATTCATGTCATAGGTCTGCCTGTCTTCACAACCCTCAGCTGAAATCTGCCTTTTCTTTTCTCACCTGCATCCCCTACTATCTGAGTTAATCTAAGTCTATCCATTTTCTTTTTATTGTTTGTTCTGCAGTATCTTGGGTATAGGCTCAGTCCATTTTTTCTGTATATTTTCCTCTCCCAGAAATAAGCCCTTAAGAATTCCTTGACTGACTTGCTTGCACCAGGTTTAGGGTTATCAGATTTAGCAAACAAAAATACATAAAACCCAGTTAAATGTGAATTTCAAATAGACGAGGAATAATTTTTTTTAAATATAAATATATCCCCAATATTGTAGAGGCCATACCATACTGAACATTTGTTTACCTGTAATTTCAGTTTCACTTGGCATTCTGTTACTTTATCTGGCAATCCTGATCAGGTTTGACACCTTTCTCAAGTTAAGCCTGTCCTTTTCTCCTCCAGAAGTTGAACTCAGAGACAAGTAACTTCCTGTGGACAGCCATCTTTTGCCCCATGCTATGAAAATATATTGACTTAGAAGAAAAAAGCTGTTATATGGAAAGAAGCACAAATGAGAGGTCATGAGACTCCACAGGTAGGGGAGAACTGTCTTAGTTCCTAATAATTACCTGACAGTCCTGGTTCCATTCCACCATAGGGATTATGACTTACTTTCTGTGAAATAAATTCATGGGCCTGTGATAAAATTCCCTCTTAGTTTTAGCTTAATTTAGATTGGTTCTGACCCTTGATACCAAGATAAGATTCTCTTTTCCATTTTCGCTGCCTACCACCCTAGTCTCTCATGAGCCTGAAATTTTGTAAAGGTCATTTAAACTTACACGACCTTCATATCTTTCCTCTTCTTACAAGTAAGCAAATATTATTCTTTCCTTATGCTTTCAAAATTACCACCTTGTGCTGATTATATCTCCTCCTGTTTTATATTCTTTTATAAAATTTGCTAATTTTGGTGAAGAACAGGCCCAAGACTAAGGAGTAAAGGACTATGTGACATTGGTTCCTAGAATAGAAAGGCTGCTGTACATTCTACACATAGCATACTAATAAAGTTGTTAGTCCCTTTATCTGGATCTTCTTTCCAAAATTGCTGTGTATCTTCCTCCACTTCATTTAGGTCTCTGCTCAAATGTTACGTATTCAGAGATGCTATTCTGGATCATTTTATCTACAACAGTACCATTTTTTTTTAATCAAAAACAAAATCACCCTATCCCCCTTACCCAGTTTTTCTTTAAAGAACTTACCACTATCTGACTTTTATAGTTATTGTTTCCATCCACTAGAATGTGAGCATTGGAACCTTGTTTTGTTTGCTAATATACCTCCTATATACATTCTAGAACTTGGCACATAGTAAGTATTGAATAAATGAATGCTATGCTTGGCTGAACTGAAGTAAGAAAGATAATGATATTAGATCCAGAAATTCAAGGTATTCTATAAGAGAAGGAAAAAAAATTATTGTATTTAAAAAACTGTGATTTATGGGCAGGGAAGTGTTAGTAACAAAGATTATAAAGGAACAAGTCTTGTGAGTACCTATACTGCATTACTACCAAAGATGGGTAGTCAATTTGAGTCATTATAAATTAGAGATCTTAGCATATAATAGCCCTTGTAGAAGAACTTAATGGAAAGCAGGGAAAACTACCAAGATATGAATGAAGACAAAAATAAAAAAAGTTCAGACATAACGTGTATGACCTTGGTTTAAGTGGAAATGGAACCCTTTGGTGGTTTGTAGTTAGTGACCTATATTTTCACTTTGTGGCACTGCTGCTGCTACAGCTAAGTCACTTCAGTCATCCAACTCTGTGCGAGCCCATAGACGGCAGCCCACCAGGCTCCCCCGTCCCTGGGATTCTCCAGGCAAGAACACTGGAGTGGGGTGCCATTTCCTTCTGCAACACATGCATGCATGCAAGGTTGCTTCAGTCATGTCTGACTCTATGTGATCCTATGGACAGCAGCCCACCAGGCTCCTCTGTCCACAGGATTCTCTAGGCAAGAATACTGGAGTGGGTTGCCATTTCCTTCTCCATTGGTCTCTAGAGGTTAAGAACTAGTTTTATTTTTCCAAATTATTAGCAGCTGGGAGTCTTATATGTATAAATGATTTACTTTTAATAATAAATATGTATTGATTCATAATGTAAATAATACAGGTAACTCGGAATTTAAAAAATGGAACACGTAAAATGAGCATTTTCATACAAATCATTAGAATATATTTATATTATATATAAATCTACACATTAGAAGATGCTACTGAAATTTTGCTCTATAGAATACAGAATATCACGCTACTGAAATTTTGCTCTATAGAATACAGAATATCACTCTAGAATTCTTAAAAAAAATCACCGGGAAGAATTAGATGATGACTGTGAAACAGATTCTCCCATTACAATACTACTTCTATCATTTAAAGTTTTGACAACAGTTGTAGCTGGAGACTGGAGCACTTTACGAGAAAGCCTCATTCTTCCGTCAGCTGGATCACGTCCAAAGTATTTCACCTGTTTTAAAGAAACAAATATACTTTAAATATACTGGCGTGCTGCAGTCCATGGGTTGCAAAGAGTTGGATGTGACTGAGTGACTGAACAACATACTTTATAAATTATAGCACATTGACTGATACCCAAATTAAAAGATACTTGGTCCAAAAAGACAATGATTAAAGTTTTCACTTGTTCACTGAAACCATACCTCAGTGCTAATTGGAGGTATATGCTAATAAATACTTGGTTAAGTAGTGATTATATATATATTTATTTTTAAGTAGTGATTATAAAAAGAGAAGAGAGACAGATATTTAGTTGCCCAATTATAATCTTCTGTTAGACTTATCTGTGCCTTTTTGTTTGTCCCTATTATGGAAGAACAGTAAAAACCATGGTGAATGAATCTAGACAAGAGCTTCTTGACCCTACCGGTGCTACAATCTATATAGGATTATGCTTAGGTCACTCAGACTAACACTCAAAGGACCATCTATCATGCTGAAGGTTATTCGGCTTGACCTTAGACACTGAAAGTCAGGGGGAGATGTGCTAAGTTTTAAGTTCCTTCTGATGTTAAAAAAAAAAAAATCTTATACAGAGAGATTATGTTGTAGTTCTTACCTTTCCCTGGAGGCTTTGTGGATAATGGAATGACAGATTGGGAATAAACTTATGTCTAGTTTTTACTCAGGTCATAGGTATTAGGTACTATTGGAACAGAATACTGTTCCAGTAGTACTGGCTACAGTACTACAAAACTATAGCCAAAAAAACGCCAAAACCCAAAAAACAGACTGGCAACCACTCCTTTCATCTATTCATAAGGACTATTACAAAGGTCAATTTTGTTATCAAAATTCCAGAACTGACATCATGGCTTTCATCAAACTTTAAAACTTTCAGCTCAACCAGTATATACCGAAGCAATTCAAGTCTTAACTCCTCAAAGTTACTTATCATGTTTCTCATGTCCTGTCTCTGAATCACTGATTCTACAATCCATCGCTGAGTTGCTCATGTATTTTTAAAAGCTTTAAAGGGGGACTACTGTCCTAACCTGTAAGCTCTTTGAGGGTAAGAATTGTATCTAAATCCCTAATGAGTCTGTTTTAAGGAAGAAGTTAAAAAAGAAGACAGCATATAAATAACATAAACCACAAATGTAGATTTGATTCTTTCAGCTTATTTGATTAAACAAATAATTGAAACTTAAAATATAATTTACAACTTTAAGGCTAAAAAGATGAATACAAGTACCTGAATTTCTTGGCCAACTTCTAATCCTAAAGCACTGGGATGTTTAATCTGAAAGACAACATGTTAATCTATTAGTTGTCATGCATAACTACCTACTATCTATGGTAGTACACATTTTTTTCCAAGTGGAAAATAGCTTTATTGGTTTAATCTATGAATCTAGGGGCAAGGTATATAAATATTTGGTCTATTATTTTTTCAACTTTTCTGTAGGTTTAAAAATTTTCAAAATAAAATGCTGAGGAAAAATAAATTGCAGTCTTACAATGATTATATATTCATGTACTCTTATCTTTTCAGAACAATGTCCTATATGTGATGGGACTTGTAGGTCCAAAGGTACTTGTACCTTTACTAGACACTCTCCAAAAAGTTTGCCCTAATTTACATTCCTGTAAGTCCATTTTTTTTACACTCTGATGCACACTGGGAATTTTCAACTATCTGAAAAGCTGAAAAATGGGAACTTGGCTTTACTTGCATTTAAAAAAATTGCTATTGATACTGAATACCAAGGTCAGCTTAAAAAACAATTTTTCCATGTTCTTTGCTCATTTTTCCTATTGATACTCATCTTTCTTACTGGTCTATACAAGCCCTCAATATATGAAGCCTCTGTCATTTGTTAAAGTGTTTTTTTCCCTTAAATTGTTGCTTGTCTTTCAAACTTACTATTATTTTGCCAAAATTTTAAAAAATGATGGGGTCAAATGTTATCACTTTATTTACATTTTTGGCTTTGATATCATGCTGAAAAAGATTCTTCCAGTTCGAAGATTAATAAAATATCTGTATTTTCATCTAGTGTTCTGCCTCAACCCTTACCATTCCTGATGTCCAGGTTTTCTTTTTCTGCCCTCACTGCCTTAAACATTTTTTTCTTTTTTATATTTAACTCCTTGATCCAAACAGGACTTTGGTATAAAAAGAGGAAAGATCTTGTTTTATGAAAACAGGCTATTCCAATATGATTTATTGAATAATCTTTGTTTCTCAACTAAAAATGCAACTTTTAGTATGTATTATATTCTTATGCATATAACTGGGTTTATTTCTGATTTTTGTTGTCCATTTCTGGGCCAGTAATCCATTGTTTTATCCTGTATTGCTTTATATAATATTTTAATATTTGGTAAAACACCTATTATTTCTCTGCCCCATAGTATTCTCAAGTGGTTTCATATTCTTAAGTCTTCCAAATATAGACTATAATAAAGATTAAGGACATCCTAAGAATTATCTTTCCATGACTGGCTAGTCAGGAAAATTGGGAAAACAGGGCTATAGCTAGATATTTTTAGAAATTGCTATGTGTTAACTCTAGAACTGTTCCACCTCAAAACATTCAAGAATGTTTATACTCCATCATCGAAGGAGAAACATTATCTGGTAAGAAGTGTAAACCCTTTTGTCAAGCAGTATTTCTGTCTTGTTTGTTTTGTCTTTGTATTTAGTCTAGTAGTGGACAAAGTGTACAGTCCTTATCAACCTAGGTAATTTCACTATGGTTATTTTAAGGCAGTTAAAAAATAATCAAATCTGCCTTTCTTGTTTTTACCTTTCGTTGATCAAGTTGTGTGTTGTGGAGTAGTACTGCAGTCATATTTGGATAGAGTTTAACCATTACTCCAGTGTCTCTATAGTAAGGAAATAAGCCTGATTAGAATAATAAGGAACTTTATTATCTACAGATAATTAAACTGTGGTTATGTTTTCACAGGAGAACAAAGTAAAATAACATATAAAAACCACTCTCTAGTACATGTTTTTTAGAACTACAAAAAGTATGATTATCTAAGTGGCATACTTATTTTTCTAACAGAAAATACATACTGTATTTAAATACTTACGGATCAAAGGACAGAAAAAAGATAAAGGAAAAATAGGTAGGGAAAAGCTTTTGGAATATATATTCTTTTATATTTCTCTTCATAATATTTTCCAAAAACTTTTGAAATGGCCTTAAATATTTTAAAGTAAATGTAGAATTATCAGCAACCTGTTAAGTAGTGATTTAAGGAAGTGAAGTGAAGCGAGTCAAAGTTGCTCAGTCGTGTCTGACTCCTTCCGACCCCATGGACTATACAGTCCATGGAATTCTCCAGGCCAGAATACTGGAGTAGCCTTTCCCTTCTCCAGAGGATCTTCCCAATCCAGGGATCGAGCCCAGGTCTCACGCATTGCAGGCGAATTCTTTACCAGCTGAACCACAGGGGAAGCCCAAGAATACTGGAGTGGGTGGCCTATGCCTTCTCCAGTGGATCTTCCCAGCCCAGGAATTGAACTGGGGTCTCCTGCATTGCAGGCGGATTCTTTACCAACTGAGCTATCAGGGAAGCCCAAATTTAAGGAAGTGGGTTAGATAAAATGGGGTACCTATTTTATTAAAAAATATATCTTTTTTCCTTTAGCCTACTAAAATAAGCCAGCAATTTCTTAGTTTTCACTTGTGATATTAAACACAGTATTCCACTGTCTTTTATAATTCATTTCAATTAGTTCTGAACATTATGTTGCATCTGATAATTTCTTTTTTCTTTTTCTTATTAAGTGAATTTTCTTTCTTCTGGTGGGGAGGTGGGAGGGAGGGGATGTGGGATCATAGTTGCCTGACCAGGGATCGAACCCACCACCCCCTGCAGTGAAAGCCTGTAGTCTTAACCACTGGACCACAAGGGAAGTCCCAAAAAGGTAATTTTCTGCTTCAGAAAATTCAGGCTTTTTAGCTAGTTAAAAAAAATGAGTTGAGGTTGAAACTGGCATTTAAAAAATTGTACTACTTAGGCATTTAATACTAACTTTAAAACAAGTCAACAAGAAACTACCAAAAAGAAAAAAAGTACAAAGAGAAAGGAAATATGTTTATTGGAAGATTAAAACAGTGGGAACTTTGGTTAAAGAAAGCAATTCAGTCAGAAAAATCTATTAGTATAATAATCATCACAGAACCATGTTCATGAGAATCTACAAACTGGTGTAGAAAATAAATTTTATGTTAAGAATAATGATTATATGGTAATTGACACATAATCTAAACACCTTATACTTGCAAAATAAATAATGCAAATGTGAAGTTAATATGAGGTTATAATATAAAATCTTACACAAAAAGTAGCACAGCATTTTAGTTGATATTACCTGATTTCAGTTATTGTGGCGGTGTACACTGCTCCAAATTCTAATTGCTGCTCTTGCTGTAAGTACAAAATAAACCATAAGCCTCATAAAGAAAACAGTAACAAAAGGTAGAAAAAAAAAGTAACTGTCAAAAGCTCAATACTTACATCATCTTTGCAGATATCAGTAATGAAGTCTCTTGCTTCATGCATGGCACTAGGTGTCGGTGCAAAGATAGAAAATGTTTCTTCATCTACTTGGCTGATAGTGACTCCTTTTAAAAAGATAATTTATTACATATTGAAGTTAACTTGCTCATTCCAGTGGAGAAAAGACTTAACACTGTGCCAGGCCCTGGGGATACAATAGTGAACCAGTGTCCCTACTTTCTTGGTGGGAGAAAACATTTAAGTTCTAATTTTGGTTCTGTGCTTTTAATTCCTCACCATTTCTTCTTTTTCCCTCTTTTAGAGTGGTCGTCGGATGGATGAGGGATTGAGAACTGCCTAAGGTTACTTGACTTCTTATGCTCCTTCTGTAACCTCAAAGCTGGTAAGTGACTAGGTATTCCAAAAGATTGATTCCAGAAAAAAAAGCGAAGTAAAGCATACTACTTCTACACATATTCTCTAAAGAAATAAAAGAGTCTAAATAAATAAGACTAAGTGAAAAATAGAACTCATAATAAGAAAACTTAAAGAAAACTCTTCTAACGTGAAAAAGTAGTTTTTCTAAATGTCTGATTTTTAAGTGTTGAGGAAGAACGGATTAATTCTAAGTCACCCTTTTTGAATATAATTAAAGATGATTGTTTACTAATTAAGAGGCATACACAGAAATAAAGACATGTCGATGTTACATCCTTTTCTCATCTCATTGAAATGTCAACGTTACATTTCTCAAACATATTTTTGGAGAAACACAGTAGAGATATAATGGCAAACTTACATGACCTAAATAAAAAATCCCAAACTTCATACAACTCTTACCTGTTTCAGCCTGAAGTTTTTTTAAATGATATCCACCTGGTCCAACAAATTTTGCTCGTTTTGATAATGGAACCTGAACAGTTTCTGAAATGTAGCATAGACAGAAATAATTCACATTCATTCATTCATGAATATATATTATGTATATATGTATGTATGAACCTAGAAATGTACTGGTCAGTCAAGACTTCGATAAGACACACTTAGAAATATTTTAGTATGAAACAGAAAAACAGTTTACTATGTGACTAAAAAAGTTCTTATGTTTCAGATTATCCCCTCAAATTTAAAGTATTTTAACTATAAAAGCATTTAAATTGTTTTGTTTGTGTATGAATTAAAAAAAATTTTACATAGCAGTGTACTTCCATATAATAATGTTTACCTTATCAAATCAATAATTTTAATGTATTACCTACAACAGGTCCATTTTCTTTTCTAGATGCTCGAGGTTTTGAAATAGTTTTGTTCATTATCTGTAATATCTCCTTTTTTGCCACTAGAAGAAATAAAAACATAATAATCAAAGTTCTTTGCATCTCAATTACCTTAAAAATCCTACTTGTATTCCCCTCTCCATAAATCCTATCTTGGGGAGTCAATTTGTAAAAACTGAATTTTCACTGGTCATCCACTTTGGTGATAGTCATGTACCTAGTAACTTAATACTTCTTGACTTAGGTTATTATGTTAAATTTCATTTTCTAAAGCAGTATTTTAGAATAAGCCTATTTTAAATAATAGGGAATTATAATTCACATTTAACACATAGTGATGAAAGAAGAATCAGGCATACTGGCTTGGTGTACCTGAGGCTTGCTGAATGGCTTCCATTACAATTTTTATTGGTATTCCAGGTAATTTGATGTCAGCCTAATATGGAAAAGTCAAAAAATTATATAAATATTGATTTCTGATATAATTAAGTATTTTAAAATAAAATAGGTTCTAAAATACCTGCAATGCAGTTATTCCTTTAGAAGTGCCAGCTATTTTGAAATCCATGTCACCATGGTAATCTTCAATCCCCTTAAACAATTTAAAAAATTATGATATAGTAATAGTTTTAAACAAAAGTGAAATTCACCCATAGTCACTGTAGAGGAATTTTTAAAAATAGCTTTATAAGTAAACTATGTCCTTTAGAACATGTATATTTCACATATTAATAAAATAAACTCATGTATTAAATACAAAAAATATGGTGTTTTAAGTTACATATATTTCATCAGAAAATCAGTGTATTTTTAGATAATGTCCCATAAATGTATAAGGACTAATTTATAATCATCCTAAAGTGAGCTAATATGAATACTCATACTGTAATATTTGTTTTTAACTCACATCCTATAAAATCCAAGGCAGATATGCAGGAGGAAAGTAAGAACACGGACTTCTATTTTTCTAGCACTAGCATTCTTCTAAGCACTTTGTTTACAAAGTGTGTATAATCTTTACCATTAAACATTAGAAAATGTGAATATACTTGCCAGAATATCTGTCAGCAAACGATAGTCTTCTATTTCACCTTTGTCAGGATTATTTTTGGTGACCAATCCTATTGCCACACCTGCCACAGCAGATGAAATTGGAACTCCTATAATTGAGAAAAAGAACTTGTGTACAATGTGTATGTATCAGCCAAACATAGGTTATTCATCGTTCTGTTGACCTTTATTTTAATATAACTGGATGGTGTTCTATATTGACAATTGTCCGACTCTTTGCGACCCTATGGACTATACAGTTCACGGAATTCTCCAGGCCAGAATACTGAAGTGGGTACCCTTTCCCTTCTCCAGGGGATCTTCCCAACCCAGGGATCAAACCCAGGTCTCCCACATTGCAGGCAGATCCTTTACCAGCTGAGCTGCCACGGAAGCCTTAATAAATCATCTGCCTGCCTCATTTCTTCTTAAATATATAATAGAAGTCCTTTAACATAATTCTTTGTTCTCAACAAAAACTTCTCTAATAATGGCAAACTTAACTTTTAAACTAATCCATTTCTTTGTGCTTTGCTTTTGGAGCCTTCTTTTTCTTTTTGAAAAATAATCATGTATTTGATAAATCTTTTTAGCCTGAGTCCTTCAAGTCCACTTCCCCATGACAGCACCATTAGGTTTTGTGGATCCTCCCCAAAATTATACCCAGGGAATCTAAATGTGAGTCTAATCTTTTCTTTATCTTATTCTTTTGAATAGCTGCAGAGTACTCCCTGTATGTGTTTATAAGAAGTGGGGTTACTGAGTTGAAGCGGGTGTGGATTTACATTTCTTATAATGTCAAACTGTCTTCCACAGTGTGCAGTATTTTATACTTTTACCAGCAGTGTATGATGCTCCCTGCTATTCTACATTCTTGTTAATTTTTGTTAAATCTTTTGACCTTTGCCATCTGAATGATAAAGATGGTAACTTACTCTTTTTAACTTGATTTCTGTTTTTATGAGTGAAGTTGAACTTTTAAAAAATGTTTTTAAACCATTTATATTTCTTTTTCTGTGAACTGGCTCTTCATGGCCTTCAGCCGTTTTCTTACATGGTTGTTAGTCTTTTGTTATTGATTTGTAAGAGTTTTTAATATGGACAGATCTTTGTTAAATATATAGTCTGTTACAGTAAATAAAATACAAATATGAAATACACGATAAAATATTATTTTCTAGTCTGTTGATTTTCTTGTGTTTTTTCCTGTATAGGATTTTCTATGTAATCATAGTTCCTGGATTTTGCTTAGAAAGGTTTTTTTTTAAATTTTTTTTGGCTGCACTTCATGGATTGTGGGATCTTAGTTCCCCAACCAGGGGTTGAATCCAGGCCACTGTAGTGAAAGCACTGAATGGCCCCTGGATGGCCAGGGAATTCCCTAGAAAGGCTTTATTTTTTTCTGTCCAAGAGTTTCATAAAATCTTGTTTAATTTTTTAAAAGGAAATTTAAAGTTTTGATCACTTGAAACCTATTTGGCATAAAGGAATGTGGTAGAGACCTCATTTCATATTCTTTATGCCCACAGTTTTAACTATCACCTATAATGTTGATGACTTAAAATCTATCCCTCCTACCTAGTTTTCTCTGATAAACCTAGATCTGTACAACCCGTATGCCTGCTGGATATCTCCAGCTAAATGTCCCTAATGTATCTTAAATATGTAAATAAATAGAAAAATTTAAATTTCAAAATTTAATCACCCTTGATAAATCCCTTTTCTCCTGCATTCCGTCTTGATTGAAAGCAATGACATATTAGAATCAACACTTCCTTCCTCCCTTCCTTCATCTTAATCAAGTCACAAAAATCTGACTAGAGGTTCATCCTCTAAATATTTTTTGTAGAAAATCTGTCCTTTCCTCCGAATACTGAAATATCCATTGCTACTTCTTTAGTCCAAGTCCACACTATTTCTTCCCCTGGCAAGAGTTTCCTTGTCCAGTTTTCAGATTTTTAGCGCCCCTACCCCTACCCCAGCTCCTATTCTCTCCTATGTCATCGCCTAGGTCTATCATGTAAGCTAGGAATAACTACCCCCCAAAGAATAGCAGATTCATATCATGCTACTTTTCTCTATAAAATCCTTCAAGTTCCCCATTACTTGCTTTCAGGAATTTTTTTATGTAAGTTCTGTGGTCAAAAAAATTTGGGAAATATCCTGTTCCTAGAGATTCAATATTCACATTAAGCTATTTAAGCTTATTTAAACCATATTAAACAAACTTGTTTAATCCCATGTAAACATATTTTTTCCATAGTATATAATAATCAACATCCTGTGGTACTCTTTTTCACAGAATACTGAGTTGGGAAAATTTCAAACTCCTTAGTATAATAATGATCTTTGAAATATGGTCCCAGTGTATTACATCATCACACCTTTCAAATATATTTCAGAAACACACTATACTGTTTCATAACTTTGCACATGCTCCTTTCACATGAAAGATGGGCCTTATTGCTAATATGCCTGGTCAACAACCTCTCAACCTTTAAATTCAAATGAAATGTAGCTGTCTCTATGAAGCCAATTATGTTCAACCTAGGTCTTCATCCATATTGTACATATTTGTGCCTTGTACATATTTGTATTATCTCTTTGATGTGTTAGTATCTTTATGTTTGTTTTTGTTCCTGTAAACTTCTAAAAAACTGGGTACCCCTGTAGAGTCTGATGTAAGACATTGCAAGCACTCATGTATTTGAATTGAATACCATTTGTTGGCTCTTCCCACAGAATCTGACATTCATTCTTGTCAATTTCTTTTTCTATTTGGCTCCTTATTTTTTAATGTTAACATTTTTTTAAAGAGATCAAAACTGTCATTTAACACATTAGTCACATACTACTTTTTATCAGTATCTTTTTTATTGGCAGACCAGTGTCCTTAGTCAATTCAATAACATTTCTTGTCAGTTTTTAAGGACAAGGTTTAGGATGGGGCATCTTCAAGCTCCACTTCAGAACTCTCTCCAACCTCCTGATCAGATTATCTAGTCCCGCTGCTCACCCTTCAAGTATTATAAATGGTATACTTATCACCCGTTATCAATTTCTGCATCCGTTTCTGCCAAGGTCACAAACTGCTAAGCTGAGCTCTAGATACACTGTACAAGCAGCATCTTTCCTCTGCTCTATGGCATGGCTTACTTGGAATGACTCTCCTCTACCTCCTTATTAAAATACACTAGGGTCACTGTCAAGTTCACTGGGTTATTACACTTAACAGGAAATACATATATCTTTCAAAAGTAAGAATTCTTTGTTTCTTTGGTATACTAACCTCCATGATTTCTCTAATACTGCCAAACTGGTTCAGTTATCTTATCCTGAAATTCTCATTACTTAGGATGAGTTTCTGTCTAGACCTGAAGATCTGAATTCATTTAGAGCAGATAAAGACTCTCTTGTGATCTTTTATCTGTTAGTTCACCTTTTTCAGGATTTGTTCTGTGTTTTTCAATATGAGACTGTAAGAGTAATGAATGCAAGCTGCATGAGACAGAGAATTTCTTTTGTTCACCACCAAGTCCCAAGAGTTTAGATCAGTGCTTGGCACAGAGTTAGCATATAATAAAGATTTGCTGAATTAATATATGAAGGTGAAAACAGAAATGATATTTTAACCAGCTACCTTAAATATCAGGTTATATTTTCCTTCCACTGAACAGAACTAGAAAAGTGCCTTTAGCTTTTTTTACTTTGCCTTGTTTTAAGGTTTTTAGATAATAGTATCATGGTGGGTCAGTGGTAAAGAATCCGCCTGCCAATGCAGGAGACGTGGGTTCAATCCCTGGGTCAGGAAGATCCCCTGGAGAAGGAAATGGCAATCCACTCTAGTATTCTTGCTGGGAAAATTCCATGGACAGAGGAGCGTGGTGGGCTACATACGATTCATGGGGTTGCAGAGTCGGACATGACTGAGTGATTGAACACACATTATACATTTATACCATTCTTTCATTTCATTCTTCATTATATCATCCTTTCTATCTTTCTCCTTTTCTGTACTATAAATGTGAGAACTTATAGGGAACTCTGTGTGTGGCCTCTTCGAGTGTCTTTAGGTTCCTCTTCTCTTTCTCCTTCAATAGCATCACTGGTAACTGGCAGATACTGTTTTCAGAGTCTCTTAACATGCTACCTCTTTCTTTTTTGGTGTTTCAGATCCAGAGATTATACTGAACCACTTGCAGTCTTCCTTCCTAAAGTTCTGTGTACTCTTCTATGAGTGGCATTCTTCCCAGGGTTTGCTTAAAACGACTGAAAGATTACATAAATCATTTTCTTTTATGGGTCCTAATACTTGTGCTTGCTAAGCCAACCTTCCTTAGTGAATGGTATCAATTGCAGAGCTCTCAAAAGCCCAAGGGGTCACCAAATAAATAATTTCAATTTATTACTTTTAGCCAAGAATAAGAATTTCAGCAGATATCTGTAGTTGAAACTGTGCTTTTTAATTATCTTTCTTCTGGCCTGGTTTGGTAATCTGACTTCTTCAAGTCTTGCTAAAATACAGTTTTAAAAAATCCTATATTTTATTACTGATTAAGTCTATATTATATAAATAACTGGTAGTTTTGAGACATAATTCTTTTACCTGCATCCATTAATGCTAAACTTCCACCACATGCAGATGCCATAGAAGATGATCCTATAAAAACAAAGGAAAATACTTGCTTTAATATGGATTTTTGTTAAATGTAGAAAATTGCTACTGTTAGTTATTTCCTTACAATTACTCATTTATAATTTAAATATTCAATATTCTTTCCTTCCTTCTTTTTAAAAGCACTTAAGGCAAGCTCTCCTAAACCACAGACTACAGAGCTGCACAGTGTGACAGCCATTAACAACGTGTGGCTAAATTTAAATTATCTGAAATAAATTCAGTCCCTTAGCTGAATTTAGCACAGCACAGATAGAGAATTTCTGTCACCACAGAAAGTTCTACTGGACAGCAGTACTAGAGATTCTGCTTCTAGGAAACTACCAGAAAAACCAGCATGCCTCTTTTGTTGCTTAACTAGGAGGCAGTTAAAAATACAGGGCTCTAGCTCTCTCACTGGGCCATAAGCTATAGCCTAATCACACCCAGTAAAGAACTGGAAGTCCTAGTTTAAATTTTGAGCTTTGGTATTTTTTACAAAATATCTATAACCATCTGATCTAGGTAGGCTACATGTTTGAGAATCCTGTGCCCTTTCTGCCTTTAATGATTATGCTACCTTCCCTTGACCTGCGATCGAGGTTCAGTTTAAATTTGACTATTGGGAATTTCCAGGCAGTACTCAGTGGTTAGGACTCTGTGCTCTCACTGCCAAAGGCCTAGGTTAAATCCCTGGCTGGGGATCTAAAAGAACTAAAATCCCACAAGTTGCATGGCATGGCAAAAAAGAAAAAAAAAGATAATTTCTTTTGAAAAAATAAAAAAATAAATTTGGCTTTTTAAACCCAGCCTTTCTCTGTAATATATTCTTATATCTGTGATATATGACAAGTGTCCCCTGCTTAACGGTTCACTATATTTTTCCCCCTTCCTCTTTCCAAGCTGGCCTTGCTCTATGGTTTGTTTATAAAAATAAGGAAACAAATAACCAAAACTGGATCTACTGTAAAAGAGATACAAAGATAAACATTTTTTTAAATTATATTGTTTTCAAAGCATATCATTAGGTAAGAACAGAGATTCAGACAAGTATGTGATTAAACATATTTTTCTCTTGCAGTGGTTTTGGGTACTACAGTAATAAACATAATGAAACACTACTTATGAAAAGCTAAAACTCTAACAGGGAGTCCATTCTTTTTCAATAGGAAAAATATTTCAAAACCATACCATTTGACTCTAGTACTTCCGATGTGACTCTTATGGTGAAAGGAAAATCTTTAGGAACAACAGGATACAGAGCTCTCTCAGCAAGAGCACCTAAATCAGAACAGAAAATAATGAGCAAAAAAAAAAAAAAAAAGTTAAGTCTCTTTAATAAAATCATGTACATACAGAGATTTGTACTTACCATGCCCAAGTTCTCTTCTATTTACACCAGTGACTTTGCCAATTTCATTAGTTGCATAGGGAGGAAACTTAAAAAAACAAACAAAAAGCACGTACATATACAATTGACATGGAAAGATATCCCATATATATAAATAAGTTACAAATATAAATAGAATCCTATATTTGTTAAAAAAAATGAAAAAAGTACATTCATACACACAGAAAATGTCTGGACCCTAAGACATATAACAAACTGCTAAAAGTAGCTATTTCTAGTGTTCATATGACCTGGGGTAGGAAATGGATGGTTATGAGGATTTACTACTCAAACTTCTGTAATATTTAAATTGTTAACAATAACAAAATACTATATTTTATAATACAAGAAATATACATTTAAAAAAATGCACATTAAGGAAACAGATCTTTTCCAATAAGGGTATTACTTTAGCCAAGAGTTGCAAATTATTTTATTTCATTGATATACTGTCTTAAAAGAATGTAAACTAGATGTAGTTATTTAAAAAACTGAAAAATTCCTGTAAAAATCTGGAATTCCACTTACTTTAACTAAATATTTTTTAAAAAGAGAGATGGAACATGAATCTGATAAAGTCTCTAGATCTAGTGGTCAATCTGTAGGAGATAGACCACTGAACTGTACCATGAGTGCAATCAGCCCCTAGGCTGTGGGGAATATTACAGGTCAGATGGCTCTGGGAGTTCAACAGAAAGACTGTAAAGAAAAGAATATGATGGAGGAGAGACCTATAGATTAAAAGAGACTTAAAGAATATCAAATTAAAAAAGGATGAGACTACACTGTTGTATTTAGGGATGTGTGACAGAAACCCAAGGAAGTGATTACTATTAATATAAAACTTAGAATAGTAGTTACTTTTAGGGAAAGAAGGTTTTTAAGACTGGGATGAAAAACATGGAAGGACTGACTGGACACCTTCTATTCTATGACTTTGGTGGTAGTTACAAGGATGTCTGTCTTATGAAAACTCATTAAGTCATCCTTTATTTTATATGGTTTTCAGTATCTGTATTTTATGATAAAAAGATTTTTTTTTTAAAATGAAATAAAATAGCAATACAGCCCATATCTTTCTCCTGCCTCTGCCCTTACCTCTTTTCCCAATTATCAGCTAGAGCTGTATTTTTTGCAGGTGCCCTTTTTAAAGACTTTATAAAGATTTTTTTTTAAAGACTGCCATGTGCTCTTCAGTTCTTGACCTAAGATTTGCCTTATCAATTATAATTTCCTCTCTGGCTTCTCTAGCATCTGTATATATCCCAAACAGGATATTAGGGATTTAAAACCTGTGAGAATCTCCAGGTTTAGATATTCTCTAGCATATATTTTCTACATGAAATATTCTCTATTAGCTATAGAAGATTCAACAAAATTGAGATGCTGGGATTCTGGGCATCCAACAACAGCTACTCAGAAGGCCTGCTGCTGCACACTAGTCTCCCAAACTGTGTGCTTCAAATACTAATATTAGAGTGCTATATGGTTGTGTCATGTCTGGTCCCTTAGAAAAGCTAATCGAAAACTCATTGCATGTACTGATGTCATACATAAAATAATTTAACATTAAATACCTCAGTTCTTTTGCTGCTAAGCAAATGAGTAAAAATATGAACATTTAAATGAACTAAAGGGAGATGGTGATTTGCCAGCTGAAGTATTTGAAAAGCCCCACTTGTTGGACATACATGTGAACAGTTACAACTCTTTCTTGACTAATACAATATTGTCTACTATACTTTAGCCTTTATGTGTTGACTCAGAACAGGATGTTGTTGGTTGGAAAGGTATTACTTGTCTCTCTACTCTCTAAATCCCTCTATAAGCATTAAAATAAGTGCCTAAACCTTAACAGATATATGATAAAACTGGCATAGTAACATGTTAATGGCAGGAACCTAGGTAGTGGATATACAGGTTATCTACTGTAAAAATCTTTCAAAATAAAATACTGGGGAAAAATTCACCTTACCTCATAGTGCAGCATGAAATTTTTATCTTTTATCCCACTACAAACAAAAAGCATAATATTAAAGACATCATGCAGATATAAATTTATTCAATAAACAATGAAAAAAGATGTAAGGGAATTAAAAAAAACTGGTTATTAAGGAAAATTGGTCTGAAATTAAATACCAGAAGAATTAGAAGGATGAATGTCAGAGACAGTTGTGTATCACCGCCCCCCCACCCCCACCCCCCACCCCGCCAGGGTCGGGGCTTTTGAATGAATTCTACACAGATTAAGAAAACAATTTTGCTTCAAATAAAGACTTAGATATCCAGACTTAAATACTAAGACAACAGACACATTTTAAAGCATTAATAACTAGTGAGAATTCTAAATGTTATATATATATCATTTAAATCTCAGTTATGATCTTCTAAGACAAACGTGAAATGAAAATCAAATGACAGAACAATCAGAGGATCTGACAGGCAAAGATTTTTTTCAGGGTTTGAAAAGATTAAGAAGAGAACTGTTGCTGAATGTACAACATTGGGGAGAATAAAGATGAGAAGAAAAAATTCCTGGAAGCAGGAAACCAAATTTTTTTTAATTGAGGAAAAGACAGGCATACACAGGTTCTTGGCACAGTGTTCCCTTTGAGTGGGATTACAAAAGGCACTTCTCTGTACAGAGTATTTAGAAAGTCTTAAGCCAGGGCTGGATCTGCACAACCATAAATTACAGCCTTTTGGAAAGAAACTTGAAAACAAGACACCTCCAGAAGACTAAAGGAATCATAGATTTAGGGGGCTAGAGAGGAGCCTAGGGACCATTAGCCAAGTACCTGCACTTTATAAGGCGAGAAGACAAAAGACCAGCATAGATGTGTGATATGTACCACCTCACTTACAGAGGTTATAGACCTGGGACTAGAACATAGAGAGGTACCCTGGCCAAACCCAGTACACACACTTATGAAGATGTGTTGCCTCCTAGAAGAAGGGAGTCAGCATGAAGAAGAGCAGGGCAACCAAGTTTTGGCCTAGGTGGGAATTTAAAATACAGAAGTTTAAGAGCTCCCCTGCCACAAAGAATCATGATTATGATGAACATTCAAGTCTAATACATATACATACAGCTGCATTGTTATTTTTATTAGGTACATGAAAAATAATTAGTGATGCTGTCTTAAAGATGGGCATCCCTGGTGGCTCAGTGGTAAAAAAACAAACCTGCCTGCCAAGGCAGGAGACACAAAGACATATGCGTTCGATCCCTGGGTCAAGAAGATCCCCTGGAGAAGGAAATAGCAACCTACTCCAATATTCTTGAATGGGAAATCCCATGGACAAAGGAGCCCAGTGGACTATAGTTCATGGGATCACCAAAGAGTTGGACACAACATGGTGACTAAGCAACAACAATCTTGAAGGTACTAGGGATTATCTTCATCAGTTGGGAAGCAGGAAATGGGAGGTAGTCCTTTGGTCATTTGAGACCCTTAATAAAGGAAAGGGAAGCAACCCTGTTAGGCACTGAGGAAAATTTGTGGCTGTTAAGTTCAGAACTCTGCTGCAGAAATGTTGGTGAGGACGGTAATATAGATTCTGATCATATAAAATTGATCAACATGATTTTACTGCTGACTTTTTAGGAACAGAGGAGGAGAACCAAGTGTTTTTTAAAACATAAGTTCAAATGTACCTTAGAATTAAATAATTTTTTTTAATTTAACAACTTCCAGATTCTTTTTGGGAACTTGGATTCTTACTTATTGTTAATAGAAAAATCTATCCAGAGTAATGATTCTAGAGATAAGAGAAGAAACTAAATGAACCCATGCTACAGAATTAAATACTTTGTTTGAATAAGTAAGTTAGGAGACAAATATAGCACAAAAAAACCCTTGCAATCACTACTATAATAAACAGAAAAATTAAGTATAGAGATATGGTTTTAAGAAATAATGATAATATGCCACATGAATTATATATTGTAACATCATAACCAGGAAACATAACTTACTTTATAGCTGTTATAATTCGGTCTGACTTAAAATTGGATTCTAATGAATCAAATGTAACAGTACAAAGCACCTAAAAAAGAAAAAATGAAATTCTTCAGGCTTTAATTTACTAACAACAAAGATGAAAATGAAAAACATGTGAAAAACTCATTTAGCTTTTAAAGAAATAAGTACATTCTATTCAAAGCTTGCCAAGGTACAATAAACATTTATTCAAGGTACAGTAAACATCAGAAATTATATAATTTACATATAAACATTATATGTAAATCTAAAAAATCCAGATGTCTAATATCACACAGAGACTACAAACAAAAGCTATTAGGAGTGCTGGGGGAGGAGGACAAGAAGAAGAGTATTTATAAACCTGCCCATAAAGGAATCACTCAATAAAAGTTCAGCCAATAAAACTAACTTCCTGCTTAAAACTGGAAAAAAGAAAAAAAAGCCAATCTAAGAAGACTGAAGGGATATAATATAATCCAGAGACCCTACACTGTATCATTTACAACATCCAGGATACAACCTATAAGAAAACAGAAAATAGGGGCCCATTCTTAAAAGAAAAGACAATGAATAGAGACAGATCCTGAGTGGATTCAGGTGTTGGATTAAAAGACAAAAGATTTTCAATAGCTACTATAATTATATTCAAGGACATAAAAAAGAACCAATAGAAATTCTAGAACTGAAAAATAAGATAATGCAAGAGTCAGTGAATATGAACAAGGATTAGAAGAAACTGTCCAACTTCTAGAACAAAAAGGTGGGGAAAAAAGAACACAACCTCCAGGACATGTGGGACAATATCAAAAGGCCTAAACATATGTACTGGCAATCCCAGAATGAGAGAAAAGTGAGAATGAGATAGAAAAAATATTTGAAGAAATTACAGTTGAAATTTCTCAAATTTGATGAAAGATTCAAATTTACAGGTTTAAAGCTCAGGAAACTCTTAGTAGGATAAATAAAAGAAAACCACACTTGTCATAGTCATGCTGCTGAAAACCAAAGACAAGGAAAACCTTGAAAGCACCTGGATAAAACAATAAATTACAGGGACAATGATAAATGAATGAATCCTGACTTATAATCAGAAAAAGGAAAACAGAGGAACAGGCCATTTCTTTGAGTGCTAAAAGATATCAACCCAGAATCTATATTCTGGCAAAAAGATTCTTTGTTAAAAAAAAAAAAAAGATAAAGACATTTTCAGATAAATGAAAAATAGGAATTTGTTATCATGAGATCCAAAGGACAATACTAAAGGAAGTCTTGTCAGATTGAAGGAAAATAACACCAAAAAGAAACCTGGGTCTTCAGGAAGAAATAAAACCCATCAGAAATGTCAAATATGTGGGTCAATATAAAAGTCTTATCTTTTTTTTTCTTTAAATCCATAATTGTTATTTTAAACAACTGTTAAACAATAACAATTTAAACAATTGTTATTTTAAACAATTATGTATTTAAAGAAAAAAAAGATAGACTTTTATATTGACCCACATATTTGACATTTCTGATGGGTTTTATTTCTTCCTGAAGACCCAATGGAAAAAAAAAACCATAACTGTTTAAAATAAAGGTCATAATGTTGCCTTGTAGAGTTGTAACACACGTAGATATAACTCCTGAAGTAAATACAGCATAAAGGATAGAATAAGGGGCAAATATACCTAAATTGTTGCACTTTACTCATTTTGTGTGAAGTGGGAAAAATAAACTGTAAAAAGACTATGAAAAGTTAAGGATGCATACCATATTCTCTAATAGTAACCAGATAAAATAATATAGAAGGGTAGCTAAAAAGCAAATACACAAATTAAAATGGAGATCTTAAAAAACATTCAATTAATCCAAAAAGAAGACAGAAGGAATAGAAAAAAAAGAGAGGCTAGACAAAAAACAAATAATAAAATGACAGACTAAATTCAATTAATAATTAAACTGAACATTAATGAACAAAACACTCCAGTTAAAAGGCAAAGATTGTCAGAATGGTTAACAAAAGTATACAAAATATCTTAATGGAGCTATTTATTTTAACTTTTGGGAATTCCCTGGTGGTCCAGTGGATAGGACACCACACTCTCATAGCGAGGGCTCAGGTTCAATCCGCAGTTGGGGAACTAGGAACCCTCAAGCGACTTAGCATGGCCAAAAAAATAAAAATAATAAACTTTTACTAAAAGGCATAAAAGAAAACACAAATCAAAGAAGACAGATTATATTTATTGAAAGACTGATTGAAATTGTAAAAATATCATTTTTTACTCATTCCATAAAGTCAGTGCAAAGCCAATCTAAATCACTGATTTAAATGAAGGAACAAAGGTACTAGAATAGCTAAGACAATTTTGGGAGGGAGGGAAGGAAGAATAAAAAGGGAGGTTTTGTCCCTCAGGTATTAAAATATATCTCCCAACTATAATAATTAAAGCAGTTTGACACTGGCCCGGGGAACTCACAAACAATGGAACAGAGTATATATAGTTCAAAAATGTACATTTTCAATATGATAAGGTGACTACAAATTAATGGGAAAAAATGAATTTTTAGTAAACACTGTTGCAAAACTGACTCATTCTGGAGGGTTTTTACCTCACACCATGTATAGGAATAAACTCCAAGACAGATATAGCTAAAACTAGAAAGTTAATAGTAGGTGCATAATTCTATGCCTTTGGAGTAAGGATTTCTTAAAGAAGATCTCGAAACTAAAGATTTTAGGCTCACTGTAGACATATAGGCAGGTCTCATTTTACTGTACTTCACTGTATTGTGTTTAACTTTTTAATTATTTGCCAATAATGATTTTTTTAAAAGCAAGCTGAAGGTTTGTGGCAAACCTGTGTCAAGAAGGTATATCAGTACCATTTTTCCAACAGCATTTACTCCCTTCTTACCTTTGTGTCACATTGTAGTTAATGCTTGAAATTTTCAAAACCTCCACCAGCAAAAAGATTATGACTTGTTGAAGGCTCAGATGATGGTTAGTGTTTTTTTAGCAGTATTTTTAAATTAAGGTTTGTACAGTTGTTTAAGACATATGCTATCATACTATGTATGACAGACTACAGATAGTTTAAAATTTAAGTTTTATACGTGCTGGGAAACCAAAAAATTTGTGTGATTTGCTTTGCTGTGATATTTATCATGCTGGTTTGAAGCTGAACTTGCAGTATATCCAAGGTATGCCTCTAGTAGACTACCACAAATAAAGCTAGAAGGCTTATGGCAAAGAAGGAGATGATACATACAAATTATGGTTGCTGAAAAGGATTCATATTTAAAACACGTAAGAATTCACTAAAAAAATAGCATGAAAAAGACAGTAAACCATATTTAAAAAAAAAAGAAAAAAAATCGGTCAAAGGATATAAGCAGATAACTCATGAAAGAGCAAACCTAAACTAGGGCTACCACTTTGCTGAACTCTATCTATGGTGTTGAGACACTGTCTATAGGAGTGCCCTTGAGGTATGCACCCCACAGGGTATGGTTTATACAGTTATCATGTTAATTGGCTATCATATAAAGAGAGATTCATTCATTCTTCATCAGGAAATACAAATGAAAGCAATGACATACCACTTTGTACGCATTAGGTGGGCAAAATTAGTGATTTACATAATTAAAGCATTTTACCATACATGAAACAATGCATACAAATATATGTTAAATATAAGAGAACAGGTGCCTATGTAAAGGAAAAGAATAGGACTGAGGTTCAGGCTAAATGGAGAAAACAAGTGAGAGCCTGGAATAGACCAACAGTGACAATATCATAAACTGAGGAGTATGAGTGACTTGGGACTTCCCTGGTGGTCCAGTGGTTAAGACTCCACACTGCCAATGAAGAGGACAGGGGCTCAATCCCTGGTCAGGGAATTAAGATCCTACATGCCACATGGTACAGCCAAAAAAAATGTTGGGCTTCCCTCTTAGCTCAGTTGGTAAAGAATCTGCCTGCAGTGCAGGAGACCTGGGTCAGGAAGATCCCCTGGAGAAGGAAATGGCAACCCACTCCAGTATTCTTGCCTGGAGAATCCCATGGACAGAGGAGCCTGGCAGGCTATAGTCCATGGGGTTGCAAGAGTTGGACATGACTTAGCGACTAAAGAAAAAAAGAGAGATGAGTGACCGACTTAGTGACTAAAGAGAGAGATGAGTGACTTAATTTCGTATACCTAAGATTAAAAGAAAAATGTAATAAAACTACCAGATAATTCTAGAAATGCAACTAATTCGCAGTGATGAAAGTTGCCTAAGGAAAGGGAGGGGAGCAGGAACAAGAGACCAGACAGCAACAAGGAAATTCTTTGGGGCAACTGAAATGTTCATTATCTTTAAACATATTTTAAAAAAATCAGATCTTATTCTGAATAGATAATATATTCCATATGATAAAAACCTACATAAATGTACTTCTATTAGAACTAAACAATCATGTATTAGCAAATAATTGTAGCTTTTTACATACATTACCTGTGTCTGTCCCCTCTGAAATAATGACGATCCGTGAAGAATCTTAAACATATCTACCTCACAATTTATATTCCTAAGTGAAGTCAAATCTCGACCGTCACACCTATAGTAATAAAGGAAATACTTATTTAAAGCAGTGTTGTAAGTCAGAAAAATCACATATTATCTCTTGATCACTACCACAACGTTCTCTACTTGAACTGCATATCATAACCACCTGCATAAGTTTAAAAAATAATATAGATACCTGGCCCCATCCTAAGTCCCACTGAATTAGAATATCAGGGGTTGTGACCCATACCCTTGTTAAAAAGTTATGCAGGTAACTCTGACATGCAGTCATGGCTCTGAAGCAATGCTCTACACATGAAGCCTAGAGAGAGAGTCAAAACATATCGACAGAATCCACACACTCGTCAACAGGTATCCATTTATAAAATAAACATTATAATGGCTTCCTGTTATTTGAAGGAAAAAATCCTAGTTTCTAGCTTTCAGCTAGTTGTCACTTTCAAGGAAATTTGCAGAGAGTACGTGCTTCAATTCCATCAAAAAAGGATATGTTAAAAAAAAAAAAGGATATGTTTACCTTTTGTACTCATTCAAAATAATACTTCTAAAAACATCCTTTGTAGCAACATTGAAGGATTCTATTATTTCATAGGAATCAGCCTCTGGAAATTTTTCTGTAGAAGAAAGACAAACCAAAACAAAGATGTTCTCTTTTTGGAAGATAAAATTTCTCTTTAAGTTCACAGTGTCAAATCAATTAACTATGGAATTGAGCCAAAGGAGCTGACTGAACAGTCCTCTAAGCAAAAGTTTTTAAGTAGGAGAGACACAACTATTATACCTTAAATGTACCATTAATGGGAACCTAGTTTGCTCTTGAGAAACCTATATGCAGGTGAGGAAGCAACAGTTAGAACTGGACATGGAACAACAGACTGGTTCCAAATAGGAAAAGGAGTACGTCAGGCTGTATATTGTCACCCTGCTCATTTAACTTATATGCACAGTACATCATGAGAAACGCTGGGCTGGAAGAAGCACAAGTTGGAATCAAGACTGCCAGGAGAAATACCACTAACCTCAGATATGCAGATGACACCACCCTTATGGGAGAAAGTGAAGAGAAACTAAAAAGCTTCTTGATGAAAGTGAAAGAGGAGAGTGAAAAAGTTGGCTTAAAGCTCAACATTCAGAAAACTAAGATCATGGCATCTGGTCCCATCACTTCATGGCAAATAGATGGCGAAACAGTGGCTGAGTTTTATTTTTTGGGCTCCAAAATCACTGCAGATGGTGACTGCAGCCATGAAATTAAAAGACGCTTACTCCTTGGAAGGAAAGTTATGACCAACCTAGATAGCATATTAAAAAGCAGAGACATTACTTTGCCAACAAAGGTCCATCTAGTCAAGGCTATGGTTTTTCCAGTGGTCATGTATGGATGTGAGAGTTGGACTGTGAAGAAAGCTGAGTGCCGAAAAATTGATTGTTTTGAACTGTGGTGCTGGAGAAGACTCTTGAGAGTCCCTTGGACTGCAAGGAGATCCAACCAGTCTATCCTAAAGGAGATCAGTCCTGGGTGTTCACTGGACGGACTGATGCTGAAGCTGAAACTCCAATACTTTGGCCACCTGATGAGAAGAGTTGACTCACTGGAAAAGACCCTGATGCTGGGAGGGACTGGGGGCAGGAGAAGAAGGGGATGACAGAGGATGAGATGGCTGGATGGCATCACCAACTCAATGGACATGAGTTTGAGAAAACTCCGGGAGTTGGTGATGGACAGGGAGGCTTGGTATGCTGCGATTCATGGGGTTGCAAAGAGTTGGACATGACTTAGTGACTGAACTGAACTGAGTTTGCTTTCCACCAGAGCAATAGTGCTTTAAAATCAGCTATTTCACTGTTATCTGACATATCCAGCCAACCATTTTATGAGAAGATTTAAGTGATATTTTTAAGAGTAGTCTCCTCCACTGTTTTGCCTTAGGAACTTTTATTTTAGTCCACAAATAAAGGAATAATTTTCTTTATACATTACAAATCCCCACTGACTAGTTTTTGTTTTTTGTTTTTTTAATAGATTTTCATTTCTTTCTTTATTTTTGGCTGTGTTTGGTCTTTGTTGCTGCATGAGCTTTCCTCCAGTTGTGGCGAGCAGGGCCTACTCTTTAGTTGCTACTCTTTAGTTGTGGTGGTTTCTCTTGTTGTGAAGCATGAGCTCTAGGGAGTGAGTGCTTCAGCAGTTGTGGCCTCTGGGCTCTAGAGTACAGGCTCAATAGTTGTGGTGCATGGGCCTAGTTGCTTCACAGTATGTGGGATCTTTGCCAATCAGGGGTCGAACCCATGTACCCTGCATTGGCAGGCAGATTCTTTTATCAGTGAGGAAAGCTCCCTGCTGACTAGTTTTTAGTTACCATTTATCAAGTTCTTTCATAACCCAGGTATTTTACATGTTTTTATTTAAATACCTTTAATCTTTATAGGAATCTGTGAGATAAATGCTATTATTGTTATCTCTGTCTTACAGAAGAAAAAACAGGCCTGAAGAGAAGCAAGTTGCCTGAGATCACCCAGGTAGTAACTGACAGCTGTGACCTGAATAAAGATGTTTGCCTAGGCTTATGCTTTTAAATGTTAAGCTACTTTATCTATTACCTTAGTAGTTAATTCATACCAAGTTCTAAGCACTTAAGCATTTGGTTTATTAAATATAACTTGAAAGTGGCCAGAACATAAGAAATGGCCACAGAGAGATTATATTGTGTCTTTTTCAGACAGGAATAATTTTTAATATTAATTTTTATACTTTAGGTTGCATTTAGAAAAATAATTAGTAACAAAACATTTAAAATATTATCCTATGAACCCAGATAGTCATGAAGGTATTTGACTCTGTATTATTACTACTACTTTTCTTTTTTTAACTGGAGTGGGTTGCCATGCCCTCCTCCAAGGGATCTTCCTGACCCAGGAATTGAACCCACATCTCTTAGGTCTTCTACTTTGGCAGGCAGGTTCTTTACCACCAGCGCCACCTGGGAAGCCCCACGACTATGTATTATTAAAATCACTTTCTTTTTAAATAAGGCAGCTGGTGTTATACAACTTCTACTCATTTTTTTTTGGCATCCCCCCCCCAACTTTTTATTTTGTATTGGGGTACAGCTGGTTAGCAATGTTGTGATAGTTTCAGGTGAAGAGTGAAGGGACTCAGCTATGCGTATATGTATCCATTCTCCCACAAACTCCCGTCACAAACTCCCGTCCCATCCAGGGTGCCACATAACACTGAGCTGAGTTCCATGTGCTATTCACTAGGTCCTTGTTGGTTATCCATTTTATTTATTTATTTATTTATTTTTATTAGTTGGAGGCTAATTACTTTACAATACTGTAGTGGGTTATCCATTTTAAATACAGCAGTGTGTACATGTCCAAACCAAACTTCCTAACTATCCTTTCCCTCCTTCCTTCCCCCCTGGCAACCATAAGTTCATTCTCTTAAGTCTGTGAGTCTCTTTCTGTTTTACAAATAAGTTCATTTGTATCATTTCTTTTCAGATTCCACATATAAGGGATGTCATATGCTATTTCTCCTTATCTATTTGACTTACTTCTAATCCTTAATAGGATGAAACAGAGTGAGAAAAAACTTTATCAGTGGCAATTACAGATATAGATAATGGATATAGATAATTAAAGAAATACATAATGGCTTTAATATTGATGCTAGCAGCAAAATTTTTGTCTTGAGATATGGAGGTAAGAGGATGTTTGTCTATTAGCAGAAGAATTAACAAGAACTGTATGTCATGCGTGGTACACATCAGTTTGTGTGACTGCTATTAAGCAATAAAATCCTTTTGTTTAATAATTTTTAGAGAGAAAGATTCTCCAAAATCTAAATTTTATAATTGCACATGTTAATGACATCAGTTGTTTACTGAACACCTGCTATGTGCCAGGCACAGATGTAAATGGTTTATTCATTCAATCCTCACAAACTATGTTAGTATTGCAATTTTATAAATTAAAGAATTTTAAAGAGTATCTTTTAGGTTTTCATAGGACAGGATACAAGGGTACCCATTTTGGAGTATAAGAGTTTGATCTAGAAAAGATTAGGAACACCTCATACTCAGCATTTACTGGTGCTCACTTTGGGTCAGGTGCAGTTCTTACCCATTCATAGAAGTCAGTTTAACAGTAACTTCAGGATGTATCATTATCACAAGTTTACTAAAGATAAAACTAAGGAGTAACAAGAATAACTGATCTCTTAACAACTGAAATTTTAAAATCTATTATTTCCTTTATTTTTTTAAACTAAAAAAAAATAAAATAAAATTTACCTTTTAGTTGTTCCTCTGTATCTAATCTAATCTTGTTAACAGCTTCATCTCTGGAAATCTAAAAGAAAGTTGAAGTTCAGCTGTTATATATGGCATTTGTATTAAACATTTCTATTTTTTAAATTACTACACAATTAACACATTGTAATATTAATCAGATTTCCCTAATGGTAATAGTCTTTAAAAGATTGCAACTGGTTATTGATTTGTACAAAATATTACCTGTTTAATTCATGTATTCACATACTCCCCTTGTCATAAAAATATGACAGATATTCATAAACAAAATTGTGTGAGCTATGACAAAAAAGAATTCCAGAACAATTATATAAACAAAATTCAGGTATACCTACTTTATCATGTTCATGATCTGTAAAAACTGTGTAGAGTTTTTCCATGGTGAGTCTATTTTAAGCAAAAAGTAAAGGTCAGCATAATATGTAGAAACATTAGGCAGTGTTTATTATAAACAAGACTGAAATATTTAACAGGATAAAATACTTAACATTTCATAATTAAAAATATGTATTTATTGCTCTCTAACATTGTTAATCTGTTTACTATTTATGATGAAGTGAAAGTCACTCAGTTGTGTCCGACTCTTTGCAACCCCATGGACTATACAGTCCATGGAATTCTCCAGGCCAGAATACTGGAGTGGGTAGCTGTTCTCTTCTCCAGGGGATCTTCCCAACCCAGGGATTGAACCCAGGTCTCCTGCATTGCAGGCTGATTCTTTACCAGCTGAGTCACAAGAAAAGGAGAACACAAATTTCTTTCTCCTCACATATTAGGGGAATCACTCACACATACCTTCCCGTAATTGTTCAATTAATTTCATCTTAGATTTTTCTCTCTTCGCTCACTGTCATGGAACCAGCTGCCTTTTTTTTTTTCCTATGCATTTTGGCTGTTATTGCAGGTAATCCTTTGATTGGGTAGTGTTAAAACTCTAATCTCTAAGTAATGGCTGTGAGACTCATACTAAGAGAAATATTAACTTTTTCAGTTTGTTTCAAATGAAATAATTCTCTGGTCATTCATTCAAAATTTACTGAGTACTTTATGTACAGGCACTATTATAAGGACTGGGCATATTGTGGAGGTTGTATTTCTTTTTGAGAACCTCAACAGTTTCCTTAGATATTCAAGTATCTTATGCTTTATACTCTTTTTCCTTGACAGAGAGAGAGGAGAATTATCTTAATTTTGACAAGGACACTCACTCCCCCCTTTCCTTTGAGATTTAAACTTAGGTCCTTGAAGAGATGTAGGTTTATCCTTTTAAAAGCATTAGACTGCTATTTATGGCAGTGACTCTTAAAGTAGAATGCTGGTATTTAGGAAGTAACACATGGACAGTGCTTCCATGAGACGTTATTTCTGAGAGGAAATTAAATCTTGTGATACTTTCACATTTTCTTTTGTACAGATGTTCTTACTTATGAGCGTGTTTGACAATCTCTGGCGAAGGGACAAATAACTTCTGAGGTGTCCTCTTGGTAACACCATTTTCTTTTACCAACTGCTGGATGCCCTGAATTATTTGTTGTGTATGTTTTACTCCCACTTTGATAGCATGGCAAAAGTCCTGCTGTAAAATATTCTCTGCAGAGGCTTCCAACATGACTAAAAAGAAAAAAAACAAAAAAACAAAAGACTGCTATTGAACCTTTTACCAATTTTCAAATGTTTCAAATTTGAATTTTCAAATTTCAATGTTACCATTTTCAAAGACCAACCATAACATGACAAATACTACAGATCAATGTTCTACCTTTTTGATTTCTTTCCCAAGAATTAACAGAATTCCAAAGTATAGACAGTAGTAAATGAATAAAGAAACCTTGATATTTGAAGTTAAGTATGTATTCTTCATAAATTTACTGAGGAATTTCTCATTAAAAAAATGAAACAAGATGAAATATGCACACAATTTTTTGTAACAGCTCTATAAGATATAATTCAAATATCATAAAATTCCATCCTTTAACATATACAACTGCATCTATTTTTAAAATGTATTTAAATTGAAAATTTAAAATATCAGCACAGTAGGTGTCCAATAACGTTTCCTGCTTAACAATTATTTGATGTGACCTCTCACTTAATTTGGTCTTTGTCACATTTTCTAATTCTTGCTTGGGTCGGGAAATCTTTGCAGTGATACTGTTTCAAGTTAGCCAACTAGAGGACCCAAGCTACTACCATAAAATGGTTGTTTTTAGCTTTGTAAAGTATAACTCCTGTGGAAAGCAGGGAAGCTCCAAAGTAAGGCTTCTAGCATTTTAACTTTGGTTTCTATAAGGCTGAATAGACTCTTGCCAACCTGTGTGCCATTTCTGGCATCTCTCAACTTGTCCAAAGTTTAAGATCATGTCATGCATAGCTACCATCAAACTAGTGTGTTTAACCGCATCATGTTGTCATTAAGATTTATTATGGCTAAAAAGTCATAATGAATTACTTCTAAAAAGTCACTTCTAAGACTTCTAAGCATGATAAAGAATGGAAAAAAAAATCTTATATGCTTTATATGTTGGAATTCCATCAGTCATCTGAAGCAGATCTGTGAAACTGTAACTGAAGATCTAACATTTGTGTAACTGCTGTCTTGGAAAGACAGGAGAAAGATGGCAGGGCTGAAAAGTACTGGGGGGAAAATAGCTGGAAATTTACAAAATTTGGCGGAAACATAAACCTGCATATTCAAGAAGCTTAATAAATCCTACATAAGCTAACCCAAAGAAAGACATATCATAATTAAACTTCTGATAACCAAAGACAAAGGAAAAAAATCTTGAAACCAGCTAGAGAAAAATGACACCATACCCATATGGGAAAAGCAATTCAAACAATAGCAGATTTATCATCAGAAACCATGGAGGCCAGAAGAAGAGGCACAATATCTTTCAGGTGCTGAAAGAGAAGAACTGTCAACCCAGAATCCTATTCCTAGTGAAAGTATTTAAGAGTGAAGGAGAAATCAAAATTCTTAGATGTAGGAGAACGAAGAAAATGTGTCACCCTGAAATGGCTAAAGGAAGGTCTCTAAACAGAAAGAAAACAATAAAGGAAGAAACCATGTTAGGAACATATTAAAGCAGAAATATGGGTAAATACAACACACTGGAATACTTGTATGGAATTTTCTAAACTGTTTGATGCCTGAAGCAAAAATTGTAACACTTCCCCGTTGTGGTTCTAAATGTAGAGAAATATTAAACAAATATACATGGGGCAGAATGAAGGGAGGTTAGGTTTCAATTGTTCACTTGAGGCACAAAGAAGCTTTCTCTGATACTATGATATGGAGATGGTTATATCCTTTCTCTTATCTGTGTTCCCATGACATCTCCTCTCCCTTTCACAGAACTGGAGATTTAAAAACATGCATTTAATGTATGTAAACTGTACCTCAATAAATTAAATTAAAAAAGAGCATAGGAACAGGTCAGAACAACAGCTGGAAGGCTGCCTATTGGGTTTCTGTGGCATTCTGCAGATACAGTAAAGATCCTTAGTTCATTCCTCTAGTATTTCTTTAAAATTAAAGTGGTTCAGACACAAAGGCAGATAAAGGTATATGACCATTTAGGAGACTGTTTATTTTGCATCTTAACAGTAATATTAACCATTTGCTTACTAGGTTCTAGGTACTATGTTGGGTACTCTACAAACCTCGACTCTGATCTTCATAATGGCCCTATAAAGTAGCCAAATCAATTTACTAATTGATAAATCAGTAAATTTCTTTCTTTCTTTTTTTTTTTTTTACTAATTTTGCTGAAAGTTACTAACTTTCAGCAGAAAAATTTCAGATACAGACCAAGTGACCTTCAAACAGCAAACCAACACTCTACTCAGGGCCCTTTTTGAGATGCTCAAATATAATGTAGGGGTCATTCATTATTCACAGCCTCCCAAAATCTTTAGAATCTTCTCTGTATTGTGATAGTTACCCACCTTCACTTTAAAAGGGAGGGTGACTTACTCAGTGGGCACATATCGTTTTACTATTCCTCCTGGTCCCTTGCCCCTGCCTCTTTTTTCCCCTCCTGCCTGTAAGTAAGATAAGTTGGCCAGAGTTCTGTTAGCCAGAGCTCTGGAATCCCATGGTCAGAGAAGCCTGACAGGGTACAGTCCATGGGATTGCAAGAGTTGTACATGACTTGGCGATTACACCACCACTGGTAGCTAGTACGTAAGCATGAAGATGTAGGCAACACCCTGAGGACAGCAGAGTAGAAAGCTATAAAACAATCTAGATTTCTTAAGACATTAGGGATGCTGCTATAACTGTCCTGGACTCATTATCTCTGAATTTTTGTTACTTTAGAGAAAATAAGTTCTCATCTTGTTTAAGCCTTGTTATTTAGTTTAACCACACAATTCCTAACATGTAGATAATACACAATTCCTCTTTCATGTATTTTGTCTATCATCTAGTTCTAAGTCATTATGAACATTCCAAAAGCAGCAGCTAGAAATGAGGTATTTCACATGTTAACTGAACAAAAAAGCACTAAAAGTTTAATAAGTTTACGTTTCATCAAAATGTTCCTACATCAGAAGATTCTATGCCAAAAAGTTCCAGACAACAAATATCAGGTAGCAGGATAAACTAAGAGACCTTAATTTATTTGTCCAAGATTGCATGGTTAACTATGGCAGATGCTGGGTTTCAAACCCAAGTCATTTTGACTGTTAAAGGCGATTCCCCTTCAACAGAACCAGCCTCTAATTTTTGTTGATTATGGCATTTTAGTTGGAAGGAGTAAAGGTGACCCATTGTCCAGTGCATATCTTTATCCCTAGTTTCCTATAAGGAAATATGATACCTCTTTCTCAGAGGACAACAGGCTTAGAATGACTGCATTAGCTAAATTAACATATTTAAACTTATAAAACAATTTATTTACTACCAGATTTAAAACTTCAAGTTTTAGACTAGCTTATCAGTCTAAAAATAATTACTAAAATTATCTTAATAAAAATGTTTGTATTTCAATTAGTTATGTAACATTCTATAATTCTAGGTATTGTTTGACCTAAGCAAGAGCACTACTAAAATGGGGCAGCAATAAAACAAAACAAAAATGTTTATGGATAATTAACAAAACACACATACATTTTTAGAAGCCAAAGCCTATACATAAAATCCAGAACAAATCTACCACATAAACTACTTACCAATCTGACTTTTAGGTGCTCCAGTAACCACTAAATTTAAAGTACTGTTAGCCATTTCTTTTCGTGTTGGGTTAACTACACATTCTCCATCAATCATTCCTATTCGTACTGCCCCTAAAATATATTGAAATATTGGCAATTGTTTAATAAAAACTCAGTTTTCAAGACATTCCAGTAATGGCTTCAATCCCTATCTTCAATTGTGACCACAATAAAATCCATATTTCTATCGTGGTATTTAAGGACCATTGATTATACTACCTCACCCTATCTTCTGGCCTCACTCGGAGACTCAAGTTCAGCATTCATCTCTGTGATTATGCTCGTGGTCTTTTCCTAGTCTTGACTGTATTTTCTCTTAAGACAAGTGCTTACCTTCTGATCCTACTAAGGTACAGCATAAATGTCAGTGACTCTTGAGAAACCCTCTCTGACACCTAACCACACAAATACAAAAACCTGCCTTCTCTATCATTTTCTTAACACTCTGACTATACTTTTATAGTATTGTTTATAAAAAATTGTTTCACTCATGCTGAAACCAAGAACTGTCTCATTCATCTTTGTACTGCTGATACCTAGTCTGCCTTAGTTCTTTCATTCAGTTCAGTTTAGTTCAGTCACTCAGTCGTGTCCGACTCTCTGCGACCCTATGAACTGCAGCACACCAGGCCTCCCTGTCCATCACCAGCTCCTGGAGTCCACCCAAACCCATGTCCATCGAGTTGGTGATGCCATCCAACCATCTCATCCTCTGTTGTCCCCTTCTCCTCCTGCCCTCAATCTTTCCCAGTATCAGGGTCTTTTCCAATGAGTCAGCTCTTCACATCAGGTGGCCAAAGTACTGGAGTTTCAGCTTCAACATCAGTCCTTCCAATGAACACCCAGGACTGATCTCCTTTAGGATAGACTGGTTGGATCCCCTTGCAGTCCAAGGGACTCTCAAGAGTCTTCTCCAACACCACAGTTCAAAAGCATCAATTCTTCTGCGCTCAGCTTTCTTTATAATCCAACTCTCACATCCATACATGACCACTGGAAAAACCATAGCCTTGACTAGATGGACCTTTGTTGGCAAAGTAATGTCTCTGCTTTTTAATATGCTATCTAGGTTGGTCATAACTTTCCTTCCAAGGAGTAAGCGTCTTTTAATTTCATGGCTGCAGTCACCATCTGCAGTGATTTTGGAGCCCAAAAAATAAAACTCAGCCACTGTTTCCCCATCTATTTGCCATGAAGTGATGGGACCAGATGCCATGATCTTAGTTTTCTGAATGTTGAGCTTTAAGCCAGCTCTTTCACTCTCCTCTTTCACTTTCATCAAGAGGCTCTTTAGTTCTTCTTCACTTTCTGCCATAAGGGTGGTATCATCTGTATATCTGAGGTTACTGATTTTTCTCCCAGCAATCTTGATTCCAGCTTGTGCTTCCTCCAGACCAGCATTTCTCATGATGCACTCTGCATATAAGTTAAACAAGCAGGGTGACAACATACAGCCTTGATGTACTCCTTTTCCTATTTGAAACCAGTCTGTTCCATGTCCAGTTCTAAGTGTTGCTTCCTGACCTGCATACAGGTTTCTCAAGAGGCAGGTCACGTGGTCTGGTATTCCCATCTCTTTAAGAATTTTCCACAGTTTATTGTGATCCACACAATCAAATGCTTTGGCATAGTCAATAAAGCAGAAATAGAGATTTTTCTGGAACTCTCTTGCTTTTTTGATGATCCAGCGGATGTTGGCAATTTGATCTCTGTTTCCTCTGCCTTTTCTAAAGCCAGCTTGAACATCTGGAAGTTCACAGTTCATGTATTGCTGAAGCCTGGCTTGGAGAATTTTAAGCATTACTTTACTAGCATGTGAGATGAATGCAATTGTATGGTAGTTTGAGCATTCTTTAACATTGCCTTTTTTTGGGATTGGAATGAAAACTGTTCTTTCATTGTTAAGTCCAGTATCGGGCATTTAGGACACTCAGTAATTATTTATCTGAGAAATCATTTGTATATTGCATGAATACAACTTACATGAGCTGTAAGTTACAAACAAGTTTATATCTCAATATTATCTTGAAAGAGTGTGTACCCTGACAATTTCTCAGTCTAAAAATAGAGAAATTCTTCAAACAGAAGAGGCACTAAGAAGTCACAGTATCTGAGAACATAAAATAATCTCTAACACAAAATATATTGCTATAAGAAACAAAACTCAAAGCAAAGATTAAAGTGTCTTAAAGATCTGAAAGGACTCTTCTTAGAATGTCATCTAATCAGACTCCCCAAGAAATAGTAAATCACAGTTAATAAATCTTATGCCCTTGCTATAGCATGCTCACTCCTATTTTCTGAAAAAAATATGTTTCTTCAATGATCTTAGCCAAAAAGGTGAGAAGTGATAGAAAAAATGTTTTATTTTCAAATCCTAACTTACCAATAGGTCCATTCCAAGGAATATCTGATAATGAGAGGGCTACAGAAGCTTTAAAAAAGAAAAAATAAGAGCTGAAATAAAAATATTTCATTGCTTAAAAAAGAAAATCAACAGTAATAATTTTAATATTTATTTTTATACTTACCACCATTAATTGCTAGGACATCAGGTTCATTAACACCATCTACTGCTAACAGATTACAAAGGATCTGGTGCAAGGGAAAAAATGCAAAGCACTTTAAAAAAAATCTACTTGATTTGGGAGGATTATCATTTGGAATAACATCTTGGCCTAAAATATAGGAAAACTATATGATATGGTTCAAAGCAAAAGCTTTGTAGTCAAACCCTTTACTTCTGGCTATCATTTAACTACATGCTTGACCATAGAAAAAAATTACTTAAATTAAGCCTCAAAAGTTTCCTCATCTTTAAAAGGGAAAAATAATGGTATCTTCCTAAAAAGTTCTTAGGAAAATTATAGGAAATACTGTGTATAAATTATTTATAGTACTGAGCAGTTAATGTTAGTTAGCTATGTTAGTAAATGTTACATAAAAATATTGTCTCAGGTTTGTTAAGCATAAACAGATTACATTGTAATAATAAGCTTATGTCAGGTACTTAGGAACATAACTTCTTGAGGCAGTGACATTCTGACAAAGGAATATTTGCAAGGCATATTTATTTTTTTCAAACACATAAAATAGTTAATTAAAGTATATATATGGGTCATTGTTACAAAGAAGGTAATATTCAGAAAGTAACAAAATATAACAAAGAAGAGGTTTAGAGAACCCAGTGATAAAAAATAGGTAATAAAGACTATGTTGACAGTCCTTGCCTGTTACTAACAGGACCTTGGCGGCCCAGTCTGAACGGCCCCCACCCACCTCAATTACTCCAGCCTTTCCCACATCTACCACTTTCTTTCCTGCCCAAGGGTTCTGTGCTTCCAGTTCCATCTTCCTCTACTCCCACACTGGTAATTCCTACTCATAATGCAGGTATCAGCTCATACTGATACCAAATAAATGTTAGATTTTAAAAATTAATGTAAACTAGCGGCATCACCAAAAATTCTTATTTTATACTGTTTATGTTTGGCCTAGGAAGTATTAAATAGAGATTACATCTTTTTTTTTTTTTCACTGACCTGGAAACAAATAAACCTAAGACAGAACATACCTGTGTATCATAAAAGTAGCCAGCTGGAAAGAGAGGTCTAATTGAACGATCTGCCGAAAGAAAAAAAAAAGATTAAATAGTTACTAAGAGAAGTTGCTTCACAATTCAAAACTTTCCCCCATGAGGAGCAGGAGGAGAAGGGGACGACAGAGGATGAGATGGCTAGATGGCATCACCGACTCCATGAACATGAGTTTGAGTAAACTCTGGGAGTTGGTGATGGACAGGGAGGCCTGGCGTGCTGCGATTCATGGGGTCGCAAAGAGTCGGACACGACTGAGCGACTGAACTGAACTGAAGACATGTTCTAGAAGGAAAGCTTTTTCATCTCGTGTCTAGATACTATACTTCTATTACAATTTTGTTACCAGTAGTATCACACTGCTGCTGCTGCTGCTGCTAAGTCATGTAAGTCGTGTCCAACTCTGTGCGACCCCATAGATGGCAGCCCACCAGGCTCCCGTCCCTGGGATTCTTCAGGCAAGAACACTGGAGTGGGTTGCCATTTCCTTCTCCAGTGCATGAAAGTGAAAAGTGAAAGTGAAGTCGCTCAGTTGTGTCCAACTCTTAGTGACCCCATGGACTGCAGCCCACCAAGCTCCTCCATCCATGGGATTTTCCAGGCAAGAGTACTAGAGTGGGGTGCCATCACACTGCTAGTACACAACAATTGCAAGTTTAAGTTTCCTAAGTATTTTAATGTGAAAATAGACTCACAGGCCATTTCCTCACTATATTTTCTCCCACTTATCTCAACATTGATATGAGAGATGTGCAGTTATGTAAATTTTGTTTCCCTGATGATTACCAAAGTTTCTACACTAAAACCCTAAAAGGAAAAAGGAAGTATAGTTGAAGGATGAGTATTCTATAACAAATGTACAGAACACAGTTCATGTATCCAGTGCAGAATTTAAGTATTTTCCAACCATCATTTTACCAGTCTAGCGGCTCCACCTCCATTCTACCTTTAAAATCCTTAAACTAAACTTTACTTATCATCAATTTTTAATTCCTCTATTACCACATTCTCCCCCCTGAGAATTCACTCTAAGTCTCAAAGATTGAACAGCGGCTAAATTCATTAGGTATGATTTTGAATCCCCTCAAATAAATGTAGAAATATTGCCATCTTAGCCACAAATTTCACGTTGAGGAGAGAAATCATCACAAATATGCCACTTCTTAAAATGAAAATCAAATAAAAATCACGACTTTTTATTTAAAACAAAACAAAAAAAACAAACCAAACTAAAAAATAATGTAACTAACCATTTAATAAAACAAAGCAATAAGAGCAAAAAAAAAACCCTTGGACTAATTTACTCACAGGGACACAGATAAATATTGATATACACCAGGTCTTAAAGATGAAAAACCAGCAGGACAGGAGCACACAAGTGTAAAATTGGGGAGCAACTTTTCATCCTGGTTCCACAGATATCAAAATTCATTGCTTAATTGTTATTTATTTATTTAAGCAGAGGAAAGAGGCTTAAGACCAACAGCACACCAAAATAAAACCCTTCCTTGGAATTCTGTGTCTGACGAGTGCATATAAACATATATAAAGTAGAAATTTTGGTTAGAAGAACTGCAAACTACAAATGATCCCACAATATTTAAGGATATCAAAGATCTGAAAAATCATAAACATATTTCAGTAGTTGATGACTATAATGCTTTTAGGAATTACTATGCTGAACATACAAATGAAAAATCCTTAGGACAGGTTCAACAGAGTAGAGGTGTGGGGCCCAGAATTTATATGATTAATACAGATTCATTCATTTGGTCAACAAATATTTGCTGAATGCCTGTTTTGTGCCAGGTAGTATGCTAGGTATAGGGGATTCAGTATTAAAAAAAAAAAGTTTTTTCTCATGAAGCCCACATTTGAATCGGGGGATACAGAAAGTAAATAATCTTAGGTGGTGTTAATGTAATGAAGAAAATTTAAGAGCTATTATAGAACACAGATGGAAGAGAAGAGATACTAACACAGGTATATCAGAGACCTTAATATCTTACCTATTACTCGACTTGTAAGAATTTCTTTATCAGAAGATCCAATCTCTCTTCTGAGATAGTTTGTGGGAATTCTACCTGCTGCAGCAGCCTTCTGTCTATAGTCAACCTGAAGGAGTGATGAAAGAAAAAAAAAATGCTGTTCATTTGACTCCTTTTTGTAGTAGCAAATTTTCCCCAAGAAATTACAGTGGAGATACAATTGTCCTGAGGTTGCCAACAACATATTCCAGACTAAGAGTGAATATTTTGCTTACTTTTAGTGTTTTGTATCTCTTAGAGAAAGAGTGACAGCAATAGTCAGTAAACTGATTTTTTAAAAAGCCTTCCACTACCCAGTTAGATGACTGTGTAGACTCAACACTTCCCACAGTAGCTTATCCTGGTCAAGTTCAACACTGCCTTTTTTTTGTGTTAACTCTTAGATATAACTGCATTCCCCTTATCATAATAAAAGAAGCCATAAAGTACTATTTTCACCAAAAATATACTTGTAGACCCATACAAAGGGCAATCTATGAAAACAATGAATTCTTTGCTTACTAAATATCAAAGTACTTATGCACTTCCACTGTTTCTGTCAACTTGATAAACCTGGATCTTTAAAAAAGTATGATAACCTCTGATATAAGAACTGGTTATAAAGCAATCAGTTTAAATTCTTTTAATGACTCAGTATCAAACAATAAAGGAAAATCCTTTATTGTGCAAAGTTTACAATTTGTACTCACTAGACATTGGACAAAAATATTACAAATTCTATATTTATTCTATATTACAGTTCAGAAAAATCAGCAAATACTTACCACCAAAGGCATGAATTGGGAAGGTGAAGGTTTTGTTTTACTGACTGCTGTGACCATCACTGCAGTGTCACCTGACTTAAACATAAACAACAACACTGGTAAATTCCTTTAAAATTAGATATTAACATATAAGCAGTTATTCATATAAGACTGAATCCTCCCTTAGTTAAACCCAAGGAAAGAGAATTGTTATTCTGTGACACTGTGACTATGAAAATAATTATTCACAAGCAGTCCAATCTTAATCCCTTCTGCACAACCATGATCTATATTAGAATAGTCACTAAGTTTTTCAAAAGTAACAGAACTAAAAGTGAAAAGGCTCACTGATAGCTTAGTCACATCCAATCATATCTTCTACTTCTTATTAGGAAATTTAGGCTATAAATAAAGAAAAACCTACTATTGAAGAAACCTAAAATTACTTTCTCTAGAAAAGCATTAAAGAATTTATTAACAGAATAAAATAGAACCCCAAGTTTGGAAGAGACCTTAAAGGTCACTTAGTATACCTAGTCCTCTGACTCCCCTGTTGTCTGGAATGATTCTGACACTAGAAATAGTCTGAATTAATTTCCAGTACCAGAATTCTAAGAAGTTACATGATGTTATAAAGATATTCAGTACCAGTCTCCATAACCATTTTTAGGATGAAAATTTAACAACTTGGACTTTTTACCTGTACCACAGCAGAGCCATCTGCAAATCTGGCCAGTTTTCCAGAGGATATTTCTAATTTTCTGTTCAAAATAAGAATTCAATACAAAAGGACTTAGGTCATTATTACAATTCCTAACTTAGAATAATCAATCAAAGATTCTAAAGAACTAAAGGTCCCATTGGCCCCCAACTAGCGAAAAACAAATAAATAAAACAGGGACAGAGCTCACTATAATTACCAAAGATTCAAGGGCAGTTTTAAGATCTCCTTGAGGAAAAATACAGAAACCAAGGCACAGGAGTAATCTGAATGACAGAATATTTCTGAAGAGAAGCTCCTTTCTAAAGGTTAATTTCCCACTTATCACATGTTCTGTCTCTTGTCTTACCACCCTTGCCTTATTGACTAAAGTAGCCTTTTAACACACAAACTTTATCATTTCTCTCCTTACTTCCTTTAAAATCTCCCTCACTGCCTTTAAAATATAAACTCCAAAATTGCCAAACATACACTTTCATGTTCTACAACAGTGCCAAGATAAGTCAGTGGGGGAAAGAAATAGTCTTTTCAACCAATGGTGCTGGGACAATTGGATATCCACATGCAAAAAAGTTAATACAAGTTGGACCCTTTCCTCATATTATAAATAAAAATTAACTCAAAATGGATTATCGACATAAATGTAAAAATTAAAACTATAATACTCTAAGAAAAAAACACAGGAATAAATCTTCATAAACCTGGGTTAGACAACATCTTGCTATAGATGACATCAAAAGCATGAATAACAAAAGAAAAAAATAGATAAATCTGACTTTATCAAAATTAAAAACTTTCATGCTACAAAGGATATCATCAACAAAGTGAAAGAAAACCTACAGAATAGCAGAAAGGATTTGGAAATCATATACCTGATAAGGGACTTGTATCTAGAACATGTAAAGAACTCTTACAACTCAAAAATAACAAGAAACCCAATTTTATAAACTGGCAAAGGATTTCAATCAATGGCTCTTCAAGGAAGATCAACAGTACTGCATGAAAATATGCTCAACATCATTAGCTGCTAGGGAAATGCAAATCGAAACCACAATGAGATACTATTCACATCTGCTAGGATGGTTATGATCGGTATGTGTTGATGGGCGTGTGGAGAAATTGGCAGTCTCATACACTGCTGACTGAAATGTAAAATGGTGCACCGGCTTTGGGAAATAATCTGGCAATTCCTCAAAAGGTAAAACACAAGTACCCCAGATGTTCTCAAACACAGGCTTGGATTAATAGTCAAATACCAAATCCTCCCACTTCTTTGTTCTTTCTGTTGATCGACATAGTGTCTCCTTTAGGGGTCCCAGACCATTTACCAGATAGCTCTGCCTTGGTGACTGACCTAATTTAAACTTTTCTCCCCCTAGGTGATTACCTTCCATTATGTCTCATGATCTCAGCTAGTGTCTAACTGATACATGTAATTATTTCCTGTAAATGCACTTTTAGTTGTTTTTGATGCAAATATGTTATTAGTTTTGTATTTCATGGTGATTTTACCTCATGAATTTACTTGCCAATATTTTAATTTTAATGTATAAAATACCTCCAAATATATATGAAAGATTGTTAACAAATCAGTGGCTTCTGGAATTGGAACTGGGTGGCTATGGAACTGTATGAGAAGACTTTGGAGCTTTTTAAATATTGAACAATGTGAGTGAATACCTAATCAAAATATACTTTTGAAAAAAATAATAAAAAGGATAAGATGAGCAGGGAGGTCCTACTGGTGGGCAAAAGCGTGGGAGGAGATAGCTTAGGAAGAGAGAAGGGAAGAGGCGCTATCTGCCACAGGAAGTAGAACTCCAGGGAGAGAGAGATGCAAGTATGTTTGGAAAAACTTGCAAAATGGTATGGAATGTAACCACCTTCCTCCAAGAAAAATTCAGTAGTTCAAAACTCATGCTACCCTACCCCTACTCCCACAAAAATAAAACAAATACCCAGTTTATGATTTGGCCTTGCCTTTGCTGAAAACTCATATTTCACTTTTCACTCCATCCACAGTGAGTTATTTGTAGCTAGTCAATACACTTTCTCACTTCTCTGCAATTGCACTTGCCATTTTCTCTGCTACTTTCTCCTTGCTCATTCCTTTTTGCGTTTTAGGATTCACCTTCAACATCAAGCTTTACAGTGGGATAAACACCCCTTTATGCTCCTTCAGCACCCTATTCATACCTTTCCCACACTGATTTTCTCAGCACTGAATCTGTGTTCTTCCTCATCAGACTATTTCTAGTTGCCTTGGAACTCAATATAGTAAATGCTCAATAACTTGCTGAAATGAAAATTACTACAAAGTTTATTGTGAGTAGTAAAGACATTTACCACAATAGTATACAACCTTCTAGGACATTGTAAAGAATACACATAACAAGTATCAAGTTGATGGTACAAAGCAGTCACTCAAAAAAGTCTGTTGCAAACTTATGACAAAGAAAATAATTTACCCAGCAGGTAAGATATTTATGAATCTCACTGCTACAACACATGACACAGGTTTAAAAAGAGGTTACCAAAAAAAAAAATTCCCAGTTGACTAATAAATGAGATTCAAAGTATATTATGAAAAATTTGGAGGGCAAACCTAACCTTGTTGTTTTGAGTCCCTAGTGCTTAACAAAGAGTAGATGTCTGTGTAATGAAATGTTCTGGGGCATTTCTTCAGAGAAGAATAAATTTTCAGTCCTTGAAGAATGGAAGAGATATCTTTTCCCTCAAAAATCAGAATCAAAGAATGCAAGAGGTGGAAAGAAAGACCTTAGAGATCACCTAGTCTAGCAGTCAACAAACTACAACTCTTCTTTTTATAGTCTTTAACCTAACAACTTTTTTTTTCTTTTTACATTTTTAGAGGGTATGTAAATGCATATGATTATGTGACTGACATGCAGTAGGCAAAACCGAAACACCCACCTTTATGACTTGGCCTAAAATATTTACAGAAAAAGTTTGCTGACTCTTGATCTAATAACAGTCTCCTCATTCAGGGGAGTGGAAGGAGTGGTGACAACTTGTTCAAAGATCATTCAGTAAGTCAGGGAGGAAGTGCTGGATTCAAAGCCAGATTTTCTTACTTTTGTATGAACTAGGGTCAACGTTTTATAAAAAATACATGTGAAAAGTATATATAAAGTATTAGCAGTTTCATTTATTCTAAAAACGAATCCCATACTAGTTTTTTTTTTCATTTATTTTTATTAGTTGGAGGCTAATTACTTTACAATATTGTAGTGGTTTTTGCCATACATTGACATGAATCAGCCATGGATTTACATGTGTTCCCCATCCTGAACCCCCCTCCCACCTCCCTCCCCATCCCATCCCTCTGGGTCATCCCAGTGTACCAGCCCTGAGCACTTGTCTCATGCATCTAACTTGGACTGGCGATCTGTTTCACACTTGATAATATATATGTTTCAATGCTATTCTCTCAGATCATCCCACCCTCGATAACCCTATATGCAAGACAGAAGAAGAAACACAGGTGTATAGAACAGACTTTTGGACTCCATACTAGTTTTATAAAAGTGATTTAAGACATGAATTCTGGCAAACAGACCCCAAGCGAAAGTATCAATTTGAAACACAAGTACAAAATCCACCTAGTCTCATTGGAGTAGCTTTGACTGACCCTGAGAAAGTTACCTAAACTTCTCTGAGCCCCTGTTGCTTTAACTATAAAATGAGAGTAATAGTACGTTTACTACAGGCTTCCCAGGTGGCTAAGACGGTAAAGAATTTGCCTGCAATTCAGGAGACCTGGGTTCCATCCCTGGGTTAGGAAGATCCCTTGCAGAAAGGAATGGCAACCTACTCCAGTAATTTGCTTGGAGAATTCCATGGACAGAAGAGCCTGGCTGGGGTCGCAAGAGTAGGACAGGACTAAAGTGACTAACACTTCCACAGGCTTTAACAGAGTATCATATAACCAGTATCAACAAACTGACTTTGTCCTCGCCTTCCTACCCAGAGTCATACGGGCCAAGCTTTATATGCAATAAACTGGATTGAAGGACGTAAGCATCAATTGTTAACGGGTTATCTTTTCATTTCATAGCCGGGGAATCACCAAAAGTAAAGAGAACGGAAATCAGGTGGGCAGACTCAGCTGGGGAAAAGAAGCTCGGAACAGGGAGGGAGGGAGGAAGCAGCAGCAAAGGGCACTGAGACAGCAAGAGAAGTAGGGGGGTGGGGGTGGGGGTGCCAAGAAACAGATTCCAAACACGGAAAGGGGAATTTGTAACTTAGGTTTAGAGTAAAGAGACCTGGGTTGCTGGATTCGTACTCTAGAAAGTGAATGTACTCGGACCCGCCTTGTGAAAGGACAGAGAACACACACGGTTCCTTACCTGCTGCCCAAATCCACGGCCACGGATCGCTGTCCGGTGCCACCCCATAGTGCTCGCACCTGTAACTGGGTGAGTGTCCTATCCCGCCCTGGCAGACGGAGGGGACCATCGCCCAGAGGCCGCAGCCGGAGGCACGAGCAGCAATGCCTGCAGGCCGCCATGACACCTAGCACGCGATCAGCCCGGGCCGCGCCCTGATTGGCTTACTCAGCAGATAGTGGGGCGGAGCCTGATGCAGTTTCGTTTCCGCGGTACCGGGGGGAACGCAGGGGAAGCGGATACCTGGCTGCTTTCTACGAAGCGTAGAGAGGGTCAAAACTATCTGAACGCAATTGAGCCAACTCGTCCTTTATGTATTAGCCAATCAACAACAATTGGAAAAATAATGTGAGTTTTTTGGTTTGTTTTTCGTTTTTCTATCGTAGTTTAAAAGAGAATCTAAAATAGCACAAGCATTTACAGGAGTACTGCAGTAATAGAAGTAATCAGAAAACACATTGTTGTTATCTGGCTTCTGCCAGCTGAGAACTAGGAGAATTTGCGTAGTGGGCCATGGAAAGAGAACTTTCTCTCTTCCATCCTCCCCCCTGGCGTTTATTTTATAAATTTCAAGCAACAAATATATTACTACTTTACCAAGGGAGTACCAAGGGCCACCATAGGAGCCCAACTTATTTCTAGTAAGTTAATTTCACCTCTGGTTGACCTATGTTATCATTTTATATATCATTATGATCATTTTGGGTTCATTTCTGTTTTAGTATTTAGCAGTTAACTTCTCTTCCTATTTTGGTCGAGCGTTCAGTTCAGTTCAGTCGCTCAGTTGTGTCCGTCTCTTTGCGACCCTATGAATGGCAGCACGCCAGGCCTCCCTGTCCATCAATAACTCCCAGAGTTTACTCAAACTCATGTTCATGGAGTCAGTGATGCCAGCTAGCCATCTCATCCTCTGTAGTCCCCTTCTCCTCTTGCCCCCAATCCCTCCCAGCATCAGGGTCTTTTCCAATGAGTCAACTCTTCGCATGAAGTGGCCAAAGTATTGGAGTTTCAGCTTCAGCATCAGTCCTTCCAATGAACAGCCAGGGTTGATCTCATTTAGGATGGACGTGAAGAGTTAGTACTTTCTAAACCAACTCTTAAATGCAAAAACCTTGCCACTATTTTTTAAAAGTTTTGGAAAATGAAAAAAAAGTTTTTGGAATTTGATTTGATAAATTTCTAGGGGGTGGATTAATTTCTCCCATCCCTCTTAATCCAGTCTGTTGGAGAAATCTTTATATGGTTCCTGGAATGAATCAAATAATTATTCTTCTGAGGATCATATTTCTCTTTTACGGTCATAACCTTGTCCCGCAAAGAAATCCAAACAACAAATTGCTCTCAAGAGCAATTCCAATCACTTATTTGGAATTTCCATGTCAATAGAAGGGATTACAGATAACTCTGTTTATAGGTATTTAATGTTAAAGTAGTTTTTGCCTCTTTTCTACCTTTTTCTTTACCTTGTGTCACCAGTGTTTTCAAGACCAACCCACTGAAACCTGTCATAAGGACAAATCTATCAGAATCTACCTGCCACAATTCAACATGATTTTAGTTTCATAAATTAAGAATATTAAATCACCTTTTGGTAAAGGACCTAAGTACTGTATAATCCTTTTCATTTAGGCCTAATAGTTTAGAGCATAGAGTTGAAATTGTTACCAATCCCCAAAGAGTCAGTGACCCCTCAATTGGTCCTTTGCCTGGAGTTGCAAATGCCACTCAAATGAAGCCAAGTTTGGTATAGTACAGCAGAAGCTTTATTTATAGATCAGGGAATGGAAAAAGGAGAACTTGTACTTCAAAAACACCTTCCCCAAAGGGAGGGGGAATAAAGGAATTTTAAGGGGTAGGAGGCAGATAAGTCATCAGGGCTCTAGGAAAGGAGTGGTGATTGCCAGTGGCTGGGGCATATGTAGTCTTTCATGCTTCTTTGCAGAAGGCAGGAAGTATGCTTAGTATGCCTAGCATAGTACAAATCACTGCCGCCCCCCCCCCCCCCCCCGCCAAGTCTTGTCTGTGTTGATGATTTCCTGTGGTAAAGTCAGAACAAATTCAGGGCAGTTGACCACTACATATCTCTTGGCACAGCAGCAAAACAACTCTGTCAAATACCAGATGATTTTGAAACCAATAGAGATAAATCAAGGCAAGGATCCATTAGTTCTCAGGGGCTAGTATGGGTGACAAAGTATCTCCTTTCTCCATTCCTTGATGAATGAATAAAGTTTCTGCTGTACCACACAGAACCTGGTTTCATTTGATTGACATTTTAAACTCCAAGCAAAAGACCCATTGACCAATTGAGAGATCTCCAACCCATTGGAGATCAGTAACAAAGTTAGTCTTGAGTGGTCCTAGTCTTGGCTTTGCCATTTCGTAGTTGTCTGACCCTATCTCTCTGAGCCTTAGTTTTCTCATCTATAGAAATGGATAATAATACAAATCTCATAGGACTTTTTTTTTTAATTTAAGATTAAATGTGATGGAGGGTGTAGGGTGTTTACAGTACCTGGCACAATGTCAGTCCAGTTCAATTCAGTCTCTCAGTTGTGTCCAACTCTTTGTGACTCCGTGGACTGCAGCATGCCAGGCTTCCCTGTCCATCACCAACTCCAGGAGCTTGCTCAAACTCATGTCCGTTGAGTCAGTGATGCTGTCCAACCATCTCATCCTCTGTTGTCCCTTTCTCCTCCTGCCTTCAGTCATTCCCAGCATCAGGGTTGTTTCCAAAGGGTAAGTTCTTTGCATCAGGTGGCCAAAGTATTAGAGTTCAGCTTTAGCATCAGTCCTTGCAATGAATATTCAGGACTGATCTCCTTTAGCATTGTCTGGTTTGATCTTTCTGCCCAAGGGACTCTCAAGAGCCTTCTCCCCAATACCACAGTTCAAAAGCATCAGTTCTTTGACTCAACCTTCTTTATAGTCCAACTCTCTCTCACATCCATGCATGACTACTGGAAAAACCATAGCTTTGACCAGATGGACCTGTGTTGGCAAAGTAACATCTCTGCTGTTTAATATGCTGTCTAGGTTTGTCATATATCTTCTTCCAAGGAGTAAGTGTCTTTTAATTTCATGGCTGCAGTCACCATCTGCAGTGATTTTGGAGCCCAAGAATATAGTCTCTGACTATTTTGTCTCCCCATCTATTTGCCATGAAGTGATGGGACTGGATGCCATGATCTTTGTTTTTTGAATGTTGAGTTTTAAGCCAACTTTTTCTCTCTCCGCTTTCACCTTCATCAAGAGGATCTTTAGTTCCTCTTCACTTTCTGCCATAATGGTGGTGTCATCTGCACATCTGAGGTTATTGATATTTCTCCCGGCAATCTTGATTTCAGTTTGTGCTTCATCCAGACTGGCATTTCGCATGGTGTACTCTGCATACAGCAACTCAATAGATGATAGATTCAGCTTTGATTCAGTCTTTTCTTGATTTTCCCTCTAGTTTTCTCTGTTTGAAATACTGAACGACCTTCTTTTCTTCAGAAACCATGGTTCAGTTAGTTTTCATCCAGTTGGAAATGCTAGAAAACAGAATTCGCACATTGAACCCATCTATTTCCTCCCACCAATGCAAAATAATTGAAATGGTAGTAATTGGATCATAAACTGAAATGCAAATGTGGATGCTGAGATCTTGTGGCAGAGCTTTGTTATGAAGTAGTCATCCAGATGATCCAGACTATGTTCATATGAAGCATTTTAAGATTGACTTAAAAACATATGAGGTTTACATTCTTGTGGTTGCAGCTACCGAAGCTGTGATCCATGAGGTTCAATTTGAAATGTCACATTCTGGAGGTACAGTTCTGCCAAGTCTAGTTCAACAGCCAAAATATAATTTAAACTCAACTTTTTTACCTTGAAGCACATTAAAGGTGGTCCAGTTTAAATCCACAAGCAATGTTTCTCAATGTTTCTCTGTTCCTTCTCTCTTTTCTTCAAACTCCAGTGAACCTGCATCAAAACAGTTAAGACCACTGCACCCTCTGAGCAGCAATTTCATTTAAGTAAAACACCATTGCATTAAATGATTGCTAATTAAAATTTAATTTGGTTTGTAGCTTGGTTTAAACCATATATATATATATATATGTACACACACACACACATATAAATATTTGTTGTTGTTTAGTTTCTAAGTTGTGTCCTACTCTTTGTGACCCTGTGGACTGTGGCCTGCCAGGCTCCTCTGTTCATAGGATTTCCCAGGCAAGAATATTGGAGTGGGTTGCCATTTCCTTTTCCACAGGATTCTCCCAAGCCAGGAATCAAACCCATGTCTGCTGCATTGGCAGGTGGATTCTTTGCCACAAAGCCACCAGGGAAATCAATATGTAAATATATGTGTGTATATATACATACTTATGTATTTATTTAGTATAGTTTATGACTAAGATACCAGAATAAGGAGCTTATGGTTTGTGTGTGTGTGTATATATATATATATTCCTATTTAAGCAACATAATAAAAACAGTTTCAAGATACTGAAGGAATTGATGAAAAAAATATTTTTTTCTTGAAAGAATGTAGCTGATTCAACTTTAAGAAAGTCTGCTCAATACCATTGCCAGAGGAATCTTTCTAAATCACAAATCTAACTGTGTCTGCACCTTGATTAAACTTCTTCAATGCCTTTCTAAATCCTTAATCTACACAATAAAATTTAACTGCTTTGTGTGGACTGTGAATTTTTCCTATTCAGCCTTATCAATTTTGACTTGCTATCCTTCCTTATCTCCCTCTCCTCATTTTATTTTTATATTTTTGGCCATGAAACACTTGTGTTCTTAGTTTCCTGACCAGAGACTGAACCCGTGGCCCCTGCAGTGGAAGTGTGGAGTCTTAGCAACTGGACCACCAGGTAAGTCCTCCTCTCATTTTATATTCCATGTAAATTGAGCTACTTCTTGTTCTTTAACATACCACTCTTTCTTCTGCCTCTGTTCCTTTGCATGTATGGTCCTCTGGGCTTCACATACATCCCCTCATGTGTGTCAGTCTTGCAAACTTAGTCTTCTGGTTTCAGCTTCAATACTATCTACTCTGACACCACCCCCCCGCCCCCAATCTGACTTACGGGTACATCTATGTCTGTCCTCACACTTTATT